ACACTACATACAATACATACATACATACATACATACATACATACATACATACATACATACATACATACATACATACATACATACATACATCATACATACATACATACATACATACATACATACATACATACATACATACATACATACATACATACATACATACATACATACATACATACATACATACATACATACATACATACATACATACATACATACATACATACATACCAAACCATACCATACATACATACCATACATACATACATACATACATACATACATACATACATACATACATACATACATACATACATACATACATACCAACATACCAACATACCAACATACCCAACATACCACCACCACAGGCCACAGGGGGAGGGGGACCAGAAGAACCATACCACCACCACAGGCCACAGGGCGGGGGGGGGACCAGAAGAACCATACCACCACCACAGGCCACAGGGGGGGGCCAGAAGAACCAGACGATACTGTCCACCCATACCCATTGGTGGGGGGGGGGAGGGGGGGTGGCCAACGCTGCACCATATATAGCATTGGACCATTGGATGACCACTCTACTCCTATTAATACATAAATGTCAACCCAATCGTCTCCATCACCCAAGGCATCAAAACTGCGGGTGACTTCCCAATCCGGATGATACCATTCAGCACCCGTTGATCCAGTTTGAGGAGTTTAAATACCTCAACTCAGGGACAAATGGTCCAATGGTTTGTATGGTCTTGAATTGGTGGATACCTTCAAATGATGTTTTTTTAAGAAGAAAAATGCGGCAAACACCGTTTTTTCCCTTCTCTCTCTCTCTCTCACACTCCCACAGGGTTCTCTCTCTACTCAAAATTGGCCAACGTTGTTGTCAAGCTGCAGTCTCCACACCTGTGCCAGAAGGTTTCTCTGCAAAGGCTCAGCATGTACATTTTCATACATTTTCCAGTTTCGTGCCCAAAGGGTAACTTAGAAAATGTCAAACTTCGATTATTTTGGATTTACTGGATTGGTTTCAGGGTCAAAAATCCTCAAAAACTCGGGGAGTTCCGGGGAGTTCTGTAAATTGTCTCTTCAACCAAGTGTGGGAAGCTCAGAAGGAATGTCATATTCGAAGACCTGACATGAAATGACTTGGCTCAGACTCGGTGGCTCCTGATGTACATACTGCTAATTCATAGCCACGCGAGGATTGGGAAGCCCATTGGTCGCACAGTCACGGCTAACCTTAGCTGCCCCTTTTTGATTATCTTCCACCTAATGTTCACTGGGATATGATCTTCCTCCTAATGCTACTCCATATTCCTATAAATAAAATCCCATCATCCAACTAACCTTGCCCAGTGCACCTTTGAAATCCACGCCACGGGCCATCAAATCTGTACCTGCGCCACCGATCAAGGTTTGGACAGAAAATTTTGCATGGTTTCGAACCTCATTTCCCATTAGAGTTGCTGTATTTGGGGCTCCCAGCATCTCCATTTCACAGGGGGCACACACCAGGACCCATAGCTTTCCGGCACGGAAAGCTTTCACCTGAGACAGAATGAGGCTTGCGACTTAAATCAATACGGAGCCTGGGTACGCCCTGACCCAGTGTCGAACATCTGTTGGACAAGCAAATCCATATGGCTGGATTCCATGATGATCCCTTAGTAATATTAAGGTTATCCATATGGATCCATAGTAAACATGATAATTATGGATCCATATGAGTTTCCATCTCATAGGTTATGATGATCTTCGTAAAACCCTCTATCGATCCCTGTAGTCCATGTAGTCATCAAGCAACTGCAGCAGCCAAGTGACTGTGTTGTCTCGTTGCTGTTTGGTTCTATCAGCATGGATGGCATCAACAAAGATCCCATCATAGACCAGTTCACCAAACAGCTCCTTGGCTCGCTCCTCAGTGTTGGGCGTGGATCAGGTGGGAACGAGCCTTGACAGCGCAACGCAAGTTGTTTTGGGCTTTTGACATACTAAATCGCAACAAATCATACGAAAACTGGAACGCATGACTCATGACACTCCACCTCCCCAAGGGCCCCCTAGATTTGTATCTTGTAGATTTGTATCAAGACAAAGTGGGACAATGCAAATATTGCGTTTGGTTTTCCATCCTTTTGCGGGTGCTGTTGAAGCCACTTACTGAAAGCCAGGTGGTCCCCAGCATCACGAGAAACGGGTGGTATGTACCCTCGGAAGGTCTCGCTGGCGGGTTTACTGTACTATATTGCTTCTGATGCAAGCACCAGATCTAGACCATCCGTCAATCGAACCTGGCAATGAAAACAACAAATGTACTTGATATTGGGGGTCTTCCTTCCGTTGCCAGGTTGGGTGTCAATGCGACTGCTGAGTATATCATAGCGATTCATCAAAGGAGGCAAGATTATTTGGGATGTTCCTCAACAACTTGTTCTTCATCAGTTTCTTTATATATATATATATATATACAATAAACACATGCACACACACAATTATATGTATGCATATTATAAATATATATATAATTATACTATTATATTACTTATCATTCTGACTTATGATGACTTATGACTATTTCAGCCGGGTCCCCATTCACCCCCATGGACCCCCACGGCCATGACACCTTCGACTGCACAAAGACCAAGGCAGGGGGCTTGATTTCACCGTCCTGGCCCCGCGGAATCCGCGGAAGATCCGAGACGTGGCGGTCGGATGGGACGCTCCGACGGCAGCTACACCGTGGCTGCTTAGTGGATGTAGATGGATAGAGATGGATAGAGATGGATGTAGGGCAATGAGGAACACTGATATGTGTGTGATACTCCCTTTGTAGGGTTTTAACATGTTTTAACTCATCTAAAAGCATCTGGAAAACATATGCCAACTTTAAGGACGGTCCTAGTAGAGAAACCTTAAAGTCGAACTTGACTCAATGATTTTCTAGATACATGCGACCCAACTCAAAGGCACCCAAATCCCATCACCATCTCTCCCAATCTGACTCAATTGGCCACCTCCAACTGCTCCCCATGCTCCCCTGGTTTTGCTGCGCCTGAAGAAGTTGCCGGAAGCTGAACAATTTACCATCCTCATTCGTGATGAAGAGTAGCTTCCTTAGAGTCGCATTACCCTGGTGGAGAGGGGGTCCTCCCCGTAGCAAAGTTGGAGTCTCCCATTCCCAGTGTCACTAGCTACATCTTTCCTTTGCCATTGCTGCATACCCTTTGTTTCCCCCAGAAACATCGACAAATGGGAAGGGAGAAACACACCACTAATATCCACTAATTTGTTTCTTCCAAGATTACAGAATGAAAAAACAACACAGAACAACAACAACACCTGCATGGAAGTTCAATGATGTTCATTACATTATTTGAAACATGACCTTTCATTTGGGCCCCTTCATAGATCATGTTCTTATATCTTTCAAGTCTTTCAACTATTGTAATTTCCTACATATGCAAACATAGGATGTTTCCATGTTTGCTTCATTCGTTTTTCTGCATGTTTTGTGCCTATGCCCAGCTCCCAGCGCCCTAGGTGCGCCCAGTAGCTGTTCCACCTCGGGCGCCGCAGCGTTCACGTCGCCAATGCTGATGCGCATGGGCGAGGTCAGGATGGAACCGGCCAGGTCAATCACCACCGGAGGCAGGGTGGCCTTGGTGTGGGCTTGGGATACTGGTAACATAGCGAACCAAAAAATCATCATTTTCATTAGGTAAGTCATCCATAAAATTCGATATGGGCCATTTCATGTAATTTTCCACATGTGAAAGTACCAGGGTGTAAGTGGATGGGGATGGGATTGGGTGAGTTTTTTTTGGGGGGGGTGTGGGAAGGGGGGAGTTCTTGACTTTTTGGATGGGGATGGGGTTTTTGGGGGAGCTCCGATTCTTTTGGGCTTTTGGGAATACAATGTGCATGGGTAACATGATGTAATATGTAGATATCCCATGATATCCCCGCATCTGGATGCAGTTTGATCGGCTTTTACCACACTCCCTTGTGGCACAGCCCTGTAGCTGTTGCTGCGATTACTGGCCGGGAGGACTGCTGAACCTTTCCCGAGGAGCTGAGAACATCATTGTCTGCATCAGTTTGCCACCGTCCTCCGGCCAGCATCGTCAACTTGCAATTCTCGCCATATCTCCCCAACTTTTTTGACTTGTGCAAATCCGTCTCACCTCCTTATGAAGTCTGAGTAGTCAAACCCTACCCCGGATCATCTTAGATCACACTGATCCAATAGCTTGGTATGACATGTTCTATACCCCAAGCCACCAGTCGTTTGACTCGTCCAGCACCTTGGGGCAGAAGGACAGCAGCTCGTCGATCTGAGGAGCAAAGCCCAAGTCCAGGAGTTTGTCGGCCTCGTCGAAGACTAAGTGTCGACAGGCATCCAAGGAGATCCTCGGCACTGGTGGATTCAATTTGGGTCACCAGATATATGACAGTTACTGGGGGCATGGATATCCCTGGTGAGGTTGGAACATGAATAAGATGCAATAGAAGATGATAAATGATAAACCAACAACAAGCAAGATTAAGCGGAACAAGTGAGCGGTGTGGATTCTGGGTTTAGGGGTTCATGAACCACAAATCACCGAGTTTCCGAGATTTTCCAGAGTTTCATGGGCGATTGGCGCTTGAGGCAGGTAAACCCCAATCATCACCTCTTAGCTGGGCACCTGCCACTAGGTCAACATCATTTTCTGACGTTTCACTTCACCCCACAAAATCCTCACTGACTGAGGGCCACCCCTACTATGATGCTGCGCCCGCTGATGACGCGTATGCTGGTGGTCTTAATCTCCCATTGAACACGTACACAATCCCAGTACAATGCGATAAAAACACTACATCATCCGCCCTGACCAAGTTCATCATATTCCACCAAGGGCTTTTCGGACAAGCGTGAGGAACAAGTGCGAGGACTAATTATTTGTACCCCATCATTTGCTTATCATCTATGAACCAGCTGACTATTTATATTATAACTCATCATGTTCTTATCATCTATGAACCATCATATTAACATATATTAACCATCATTAACCATGAATGGCCCATATCAATAACGATTCTTATCTGTTTCAAGTCATCCCCGGCCGCTCCAAGATGCTCCAAGCGCCCCATGCGCTCCAAGCGTCCGGTTCTCCTTGAGCATCTGCACCAGGCGTAAGGGAGTCGCCACCGCGACATCCAGGCACTTGATGTTGCCGGCCTTCTGGCCCGACATGCGATCCACCAGGCGACCGTTCCACTTCCTGTGGACAAAATACCATGGGGCCGGGGCGAAACAGTGGGAGTTGAATGGGATCTCATGGGATTTAATGGGAATTTAATAGGGATACATTGGGGGTACTAGGGGTATGATTATCATCCCATTTTGACGCATGGATGAACACAAAAGGATGATTGAAAGGATCACAATTCTCTCTCCATTGCCATCACCGAGAGTCAGCATCGGTTTATGGAGGTAGCATGGCACACAGATCATTGATCATGCCCAACGTGGGTGAAGGAAGACCACAAATTCATTTATATAAATCATAGTATTCATGTTAAAAACGAAAACCATAGAAAGACTCTAACAAAAGCATCGAACAGCTGATCTCTCTCTCTCTCTCTCTCGCTCTATCTATGTAATTCTATGTCTATATATATATATAGTTCACATATATATATATTAATGATTGAAAGTTTTATATAAAACAGACCAGCCATTGAAAATGTGCTGAAGCGAAATGTCGAGTTCCGACTGGTGGTCAGCTTGGTGAATTCATCAAGCGTCTGCTTCCTCAAAGCTGACAGCAGGTTCCCAGTCCGGCACGGGTCGGGTAAGTCGCAGTGGGCGTACGTGACCGAAAATGAGAGGGCATGATACTCTCTGGTAAACTAACATAGCTATGGAAAATCACCATTTTTAATGGGAAAACTCACTATAAATGGTCATTTTCAATAGCTATGTTAAATTACCAGAGGGTACACAGAATGAATCATAATGAAACACCAGCAGCATGCAAAGGTTGTATCACATGTTCAATGTTGAACAAGTTTGACAGTCAAGGACAGCGGTAATCGCAGGAAACCTGCATCAACCTGCAGTGTCTTCTGATATCTTCTGAGTCTGCAAAACGTCGATGAGTGCGGAGTCGGTCGGACACAATGGAGCATAACATACTTGACACATCTTCTGAAGAACACATGCAACATCTTCCCACTGACAATATCGACCATGGATGCCATGGGTTCATAAAACCCACATGGTCATCATGGTCGTGATCGTCATCGTCATCATCATCATGCGCAAGCCATGCGGCGCCAGCTCGCGTGAAGGGTCCACGATCAAACAGCGAGCAAAGTCCTTCCCAGGTTTGCCCAGTGTGGCCAAGATGGGCCCCAGGAAGGCGATGGTCTTGCCGCTGCCTCCAAGACTTGGGCAGGTTGGAGGAAACCATGGGGCCATGCCATGGGGGGAAACCAAGGGAAACTTGGGATGTGCCCATTGCCCAAGGGTAAAACCAACATGTGTATATATATATATATATATGTATATAATATGTATAATATATATATATATATATGTATGTATGTATGTAATTATGTATGTATGTATGTATGTATCTGTATCTGTATCTGTATCTGTATCTGTATAATATATATATATATATGTGTGTGTGTGTGCGTGACAAACAACATTGCCAATATTCCAAAATGTGTGCCAGCGGCCTGTAGGAGCAGAAGCCAAGACATGGTTTCCAGACAGAATTGCTGGAAAGCATTGCATCTGGATTGGTGTGGGCTGAGAAAATCCCATTGACTTCAGATTTCGCACCAGCCAATGAGGCACGCCACCTTTCAGACAACACAGCCAAGGTTGAGGTCATGCGACTAGCAACAGTCACCTTCACATTGCGAAATCCAGGAAGAATGGAACAAGAATCAAACAAGAATCAGCAAGAACTATCACTCTAGAATAGACTCTACAAATCTCATCAAATCTCCACAAACTTCAATGATAAACACCCAAAGAAATCTCCCAGCATCAAATGATCAAAAAACAGCCAGGATGCTCTTGGGCATCTCGTCAAACGATGCGATGGGGTCCGGCGTTTGAGGGCTCACATGAATCCGATGTCTGCGACGTAGCGCAGCCACGGCTTCGCGTTGTTGCCGCCTCTGGGTCAAGTCACTGAGCATGCTGAGTCCTGGGAAGTCTGAGGCCCTGCCTCTGTTTTTCTTTTTCTTCTGGAGATAGGTGAACGTCTTCTTCACCTTCAGAATGACCCCAGCACAAGGGCAGGAAACTGGTCTGCACGATTGCAAGTGACTGCAAGTGCTTGCTGAATTTAATTTGATGTCACCGCCACCAGCACCCGGAAAAATCAGTCTCCTCCTTTGGGGCTCAAGAATCATCACACATCAGCACTTCAAAAACGCAATTTAAAAAGTCGGATCATGAGGATCCAAATGGCTCCCATGTCAAACTTCAAATTTTGGGCATAGAACCCATTGGACCCATAGATCATGAAATCCCCATTTTGGCACTTTGCATCCCCTTGTTGGTGGCTTTCAAACCCCATGTTGTCAGAGAGAAAGCCTTCCTTAGAAGCCGCAGGTCTCCGCTCCTGTCAGGGCGCGGGTCAGGCTCTCGTTTTGTATATTGAACTCATGTATTCTTTGTTGTATTCATAAAGGTCTAAGATTGGCGAATGGGTTTGCAACCAACATCAACATATCAGTCTTTTTGGATTTTCCAGCATGCCTCCCCAAAAAACAACAAATCAAACAGCCGTCCTTTGGCGGTGGTCTTGGCTTGGGCTTTGGGGACGCTGGAGGCGTGTGAGGCTCCACCTTTGGTGCAAAGTTGCCAGGAACATCAACTATTTTCCCATCATCTATCTATCATCTATCTATATCTATCCGTATGCCTACCTATATCTATCTACATCTATCTACATCTATCTACATATATATATATATATATATGTGTGTGTGTTGTGTTGTGTTTGTGTGTACATCTATATCTATTGGTATACATGTCGATGTATATAAAAGGTAAAATATTTTTGCAAATATGTATATAATATATATATATATATATTATAGATACTGTATTCATATATGTATCCATCCATAAATCCATCCCTCCATGTAACTGGATCCCCTGCCTGCAATGGCCCGCCGCCCAAGTTGAAGAAATCCAAGGGCGAGGTCGAGGAAGTGGACCTACAATCTGCGGCCACCAGGACAGCTAAGTTGCAGGCTGGTTGGTTTATTATTGCATTTATTGCAAGAACTCTGATTTAAGGTGGAACTAGCTGAGAATATCTGCAGTTGCGGCTGGTTTTCCAAACCAACTTAAAACTGGGGGGAACTACTTTGTGTAGAATTGATGGCCATCCCATTCAAACACCACAACTGTGGGTGATATCATCTCCACGGAGCATTCAAAAAGGTGATGTTCAGGATCCCAACGTTACACATGGAGTTCGCATCTGCTTGTTTCACTTCCTGTGACAGAATACTTGGGGAATGTTTCCCATTGAAAGGCTTCTTTATGATTGAGATATGGCTTTCGGGGGCACGGAAACATGGCCAAACCAAAAAGAAAACACAGTGTGTCCAACCCTACAGTTGACCAAATAAAGTGTGGCCCCAAAATGATGTCGCCATGTCTTGAAGCATTTAACAACCACCGATCAAAACCCATCACCACCTTGCCTTTGGCCGGAGGTCTCTTTCTCCTCGGGATTTGTTCGCTTGCCAAAGGCAACGGTTTTGGACTTTTTGGCACCTCCAAAGGTGCATCCTGGCAGAAACATGCAGGGCCCAACTGCATGGTGAACCCCGTTGATACCCCCCTCCTGTATGTTTAATGGCAAAAACAAGCAAAAACTATGGTTTCAGCTGGTTTCTTGACATGTTTTCCTTAAAACATCTTAAAACCAGCCAAGGAATAAGGGTACACACATGTATATACAGACCCAAATGGGGATGGTTCTATGAACATCTCCGAGCTACAAGTCTTTTAGACTAGGAAGACGGCTACAGTTTCAGGGAGCATGCACAGTGGAAACGTTAAACAATAAATCTATGTTATTTTTATTTTGGGGATTGTAGCCTCGTTGGTGAGTTAACAGTACCTTTAAAATTGCCCAATTCTTAAAAGTTTAAATCGTAAAATGGTTCCATCGTCCACTGCAGGGAGATTGAGAAGGAATCTACATTCTGCTCTCTAAGTGAAGACCGTCTGCTCATCCCCCCAATGCATGGCTCCTTTGCGCAAGACATCGAAGAAATCCATGGCTGCAATGGTCACAGGAATTGCTCCGTTGCCATTGTGAGTGGTCAGGTCTGGGAACTGACTGGCATTCTGCAAGGGGCAAGTTGTGTGCTGTATGAGTTATTTTGAATGCGCAATGATGGATCATAAGTGTAGAGCATATAGTGTAACATGTGTAGGTACTATGGACCATGGATGTGATTTTTCATCAAAAAATGTATATATGAGTAGCCGGGCAAATTATATATTTAATGCCATGCACAAATTAGGGTCGTCCCCTATCGGTTGTGAAGATTTCAGTACTCCCGGAGGTATCACAAATGAGGTGTCGGTATAGGGTCGACCCCTATCGGTTATGAAGCTTTTATGCAACCTCAGAAAGGCCAAGGCGCAGCAACACTAAATCAGTATTACAATAATTTCAGGTACTCATATGTGTATATATCATGAATATTATATATATAGTTATGTAATTACGAAAAATAGTTAAATATGATGAAATATGAATCCCTGTGAATGAATCCATGCCACAAAATATATGCACATTGTGCGAATGACCCAGGAATTTGACTGCGTTTGTAAAATCCTCACATTTTGAGATCGTTTGATGCTAGCCCATTGATGGCCATCAAATGACTGCAATTTGAAGAGTCATTTGATGGGGTACTCTTTATATAAAGGGATCCAGTTTCAAAGCGTGACAAACCGGGACAATCCGTGACAGATCGTAGCGGGCCTACTATTTTCTATTAAAAATACAGACATTTGATGGTAAATAGCGTGACTTACCGTGACAGCCCGTGACAGGGCCCCTTAATGCCACAAAATAGGGCACCCGCAAATAGGGCACCCACAAATGACATGAAAAAAAACACATCGGATGGCATCGGTAGCCAAACAATATCTACATCAACAAATGACATGAAATAAGTGCAACGCAGGATCCCTAGGGTATATGGTGAATGACATTGCTTTGCAAACAATGATGCCACGTGTCCAGCGGTTGAAGCCTGAAAATACAGGGGAAAAGTTTCTTTATCATTGGGGATCCTCATCCCGTGTTCCTGAAACCATGAACTAAATGGAGCATATGTGGAGCATATGATGTGTTTCCCAGGGTAATTTAACATAGTTATGGATTATGGAACGTATTTTATTCTTAGGTAAAACATGTACAACTGGGCCATTGTCCATAGCTACGTTAAATTACCACACAGTATCCTACCCTGCTTGCGCATTTTCTTGCGCAGCTGAGCGATTCATACTATGGCAAGGCTCTTCCCGCAACCTTTTGGGAGCCACACCGGATGAACCAAAGTTGGTCATCTCTTGCATGAAGCAGTGCAGGGAAATTGGAAAAATGAACCAACAGAGCGATGGGACAATGTAGGTTTGATCCTAAGAGAGCTTTTGCCTAGAACCAACTGAACGACTTTGTAGGAGGAATGGAACAGAACATGACAAAACCAAAAATATCAACAAAAACTTGGGCGTTTTCATCTTGGGTCCCCAAAGGTTGATTGCTAGCTTCTGAGGATCTTATCATGGCATCATGCGCGTCATGTTTACGCCAATGTTTTAGTTCTTTGTTTTTGGTCATAGAACTTACCCTCCGGAAATCTAACATAGCTATGGAAACTGGCCTGTTCATAATTAGATGATGTTCCAAGTAACACATCCATTAATATAATACACATATATATATATATATATCCAATATTATATGGGATAGGGATTTACCAGCCAACTACGATCGATTGCCGAACTGTATTTCTACAAGTTCTGACTTCGGGCCCTGCTATGCCCTGCTGCTCTGTTGGACGTGCCAAGTTCACTTGGCACCGCGGCACCTGATCTGCCAAAGACCCAACCCACCCAACGAAGCAGGTATATAGATTGATGCGACCATATACAGTAAACCGTTTACTAAGAAGAGACGATATGTTGAAGATCCTCTCATAAGCACATGAACATGGCGTATCCTATTATGAAAACTACATTATAATATATATTCACTATAGTACTAGTGACAAACCTTTGCAACTATGTATCTTTATATGTACAGAATAACATCAAAATCAATATACATATATATATATATTTATTTATGTACATACTGTAACCAAATCCATATGCATTGTTTTTTCTCTAATTCCAACTAATTGAAAAAGAAGGACCTTCGTTGCGCTCCCAAAAAGCGTTACCCGTGACTGTTGGAGGCTTGGGATTTCTTCACAGCCAAAATGCTGTTGGGACGACGTTGTTGGGCTGCACCCAAAGTATCCAAAAACGTTGTTGCAACCGTCGCGACAAAGGGGCGACTGGTCCAGCGTGGCGACCGGATTCCAAGCACGTCTGGTGAATCCGGTCGAGTCTGGGGGATGTGCATCGCAGTTGGGCCACCCGCACCCAATGAACTGAGAATAGCCCATGAAATTCCATTTGTCCCTGGTCCCTGGATTGTAATTTGCTACTCCGCTCACTGAGATGCACATCAAAAATGGTGCACACTTCAAAGTGATGTTTTTTTACACTTCAAAATGCCCAACCTTTAAGATGTCCTGGCTACCTGGAATGCATTGAGACCAAAATATCTCAGCAGCGGCAAAGGTCCCAGCTGCAAGAAAAATATGGAAGAATTGATGACATCATCTGCCGGATGTTTCAGCTGTCTTCAACATTTTATACTTTGAAGGTTTGACGGAGACATGCACCAAATATCAAGGAAACCCACACTCAACCGCTTGCATCCAGGGATGGAGCGGGCACGCTCTGAAATTTGTCGGGTGAAGGTGTAGCGGATCCACTATCGAAGTGCGCAAAAGTCAGAAAGAAACGGGGGTGCCCTCACGAAAAAGTTCATCAAATACTGTACTGGAGAAAATGACTGTTCTCTTCTAACCAAGAGAATTTTGGGAAAAACATTTTGAAATGAAACAAAGAAATGCAAGATGTTTCGACATCAAAAGTGGGTGGTGGTGGTTCAGCGATCAGCTAAGTCGCTAAAAGTCAGCCGAGGTCATGATTCGATATCAGATAGGATGAACAATGCAACATCATACGAAAACCATGTACCCTGGGGTAAACTCATAATATACAGCATGCGGAACATGGCCTATCAAAATTGTTATTTCCCACATCTATGTCTATGTTAGTTTGCCCCAGGGTAAATGATGGTAAATGTAGAATTTATCAACACACTTGAAATGGACAGCCAAACGCGCCTGAAGTCTATTGCGGTTTATTGACGGCTCCAGGCTCACTTGGACAGCTTTAAATATTGCTAGATAAATCAACTAGTAGTATGTAATGTCAAGTGAGGATTAATGATACCCCCCCGATTAATCAACAGCAACTGCCCAATTTTTTTTTGTAATTTAAAAACAGATGGTCCCCGATGATTAATAAACCGGTGGGCCTACCCCCGATTAATCAACCACCACTTCGGAAATCCATTTTTTTATCCAACAATTTTTATTTCCAATTCTATTCATTTCCATTTGTTTTTTACCTTTTCTTTTATCATCATTGCTATACTTAAGGTTTAAGTTGATGATTGAAAATTTCAAAAAACAACTATTCCCCAAATGATCGATTTCTAATTAAAATCTTTATAAAAATCATCAGTTTGGATAGCTCCCAAAGGGTACCCCCCATGAGCCCATGTCCCCCACTAATAATAACCAGGGTTTGCCCCTGATTAATCAACCACCTTTCTGATCCATGAGATTTTAACAAATCCAATGGAATTCTATTAAGATCTAATTGACGTAAGCCATATCCAAAGTTTTATGGTTCAGAATTTTATGGCTCAGGGCCGTTTATTTAGGGGTAGTCAAGAAAACTCGCCAGAAGGTACCCCCCTACCTTCTAGGGGGGGGGTTATTAATCCGGTGTTGGCATTACATACATTTGAACAATCGTGAAACCCATTAAGCTGTGTGCAACGTCGCAATCCTTCAAACACTTTAAGATTTTGACACCTGCCCACAACTTGCCCCCAACATTCATGGAGGAACACCTTAGCCCCAACATCCCGCTTTCCCGCGAATATCAAGCCTTGCCCAAAAAAAAAGGGTGGTGGGCAAAATGTGGCAATAAACAATATCAGCACCGATGCTTGGTGATGATACATGATACATGACATAATATGATATAGATTGATATAGTATGATACAATAATAATATGATACTATGACAACCTTTTGATAAACATAAAATATAATAAAACATGTGATACCATATGAATCAATATTAATATGATACATAAACAAAAAGCATATAAACAAGTTGAACAAGTGTTACTTATTACGTGTTAGATTATGTAATCCGCTGAAAAACCTGCACCCTGCAGCTGCATGGCGAGTTCACATCGGTGAAATCGCGAGGTTCGTCTCCGGGAGGTACCTGAAAAAGGACACAGCTAGCGGCTAGTGGTTAAGCAACCCACCCACCAAACAAATAGAAAAGGTCAATTGGGATCATCAGTATATAATCAGTCAATATTTTTTTGGAGTGGAACTGGAACTTTGTCAAAAACCGATTGAAGCCACATGAAACCGCCAATCCTGTCCATACCAGTATCATGAACTTTGCATAACTTATTTTGCTACTGCTAGCTAAACCTTGCGGATCAACCATGGCCCCAGCATGCCTCCAAAAAATCCAAAGAAGGCCATAGAAATGTGGAACTTCAATGTGCGAAAGCAAGTCTGCTGTTTGATTGTTGGGTGAGTTATCGACGGCTGCTAGTTGATATTTATTGATGATTGATCATTGGTGACGGGGGATCGGTGATTGGTGTTTTTTTGGTGATTGGTATAATTCATGATTAGCGGTAAGAGGATGTGGAGGCTGTGACCACGGTCAAGCTGCTGTTCCACGGCCCACAGGGTGGAGTGTGCCGCCAAAGACAGTCTATCCAGTTGAACTTCTCTGGACCAATCTGCAGGATGCGACTTTTGGGAGGCAGCCGGATCGGTCTACCCGTCTACCCGACTGCCAGTGCAGGACATGGATCCGCGTTGCATCTGTGACGAGACTTGGACATAGTACAATTCAATGTAAGAGAGCAAACAGAAGCTTCTGGCAGCTTGTGACATCAAAGTAAAGTAGCTGAATTTCAGCCAGGGCATATGATATCGTTCTACTCATATGGAATTTTCGAAACATGTCACTAAAATGGGAATAGTTTTGAAGTTTTGAACAATCCTGGTTCTATCTACTTCAGGATGATTGTTACCCTCCTGTAAGCTACCATAAATGTGGAAAAATCACCATGTGTAGATGACATTTCCAGGGAAACCATAGTTTTTTCCATATGTTTTCAGCATCTATGTTAGTTTACCCTAGGGTACATAATCCATCCATAGCTGAGCTTGCAACGACCGAGCCTGGGTTCCAGCTAATGCCTTCCACCAGGGATCGAAAAACCTCAAGGACTTGGAGTTTCTGACAGTTCAGCTCCTGCTCCTCAGCATGGTGGAAACCAGTAGGGATGTAATGGAGATTCAATGGGGATTAAATGGGTTCACCAACTTAAATTCAAACCACATACATATATATATATATATACATATTATACATATCATATATCATATGTGGTTTTTGTCTAAACATATGCGACTATGGGAAACCCCATTCCATCCACTGGCTTATCATCATTTTCCCATTAAAACGGCAATGTTGGGCTCCCTAAACCCTATGTTTAGACGCCAAATGATTGAATCAAGTTGAATGGGGTTCAAAGAGCAAAAACCAGCCATTCATATCTGAATCATGCACAAAGCATGCATTTTTTTTGTTGCAATGATTTTTGCAACTAATTAATAATAGTCCGAAATTTGGGGTAAATTGACATTCTGCTGGGCAGCATTGTCAAATTTTGATTGTCAAATTTGGCTGGATAAAAAGACAAGTGCGGGCAGCATATGAAATACCACATTGGCTACACAAGTTTCGTTTTCAAAGGCTAGGCCCCATTTTCTCAGGTTTCGGTTCACTTTTGAATCTACATTCCATGTTGCACACTAACTTTTGGAAGAGAGTCTCAAATAGTCTCAAATTATCCAGACTAAGTAGGGGTTGAGCCCTCTATATGTATACTATATATATATATATATCCCAGACCTTCCCACGTCGAAGTTTAACTTAGCATTTATTCGCGTTAAATACTAAGTTTACCCATGAAGTACTAAGTTTAACCACGGTCTTGCTTTTTTGCAGGAAACTGTGTGTCCTGGGCTCTGGGATTGGTTGCTTTGGGTCGAAGTACTTTGCAGGATCAGTCAAAGCTTTGGGATCAAAAAACGACCACAGGAAAACATAGGGTTTGTTTTGTGCCAGCTCAGGCGGAGCGCCGGATAAACCTAGTTTTTCACGGGTAAACTCAGCATTTCACGGGTAAACATGGTATTTCACGGGTACTTCACGCAACTTCACGGGTACTTCACGCGAACATGTTTCGGGGGCACCACCTAGGATCCATTTATGTTCTCGATTTTTTCAAAATCTATGTCAGCTCTTCCACCCAATATACTGCTGCGCATGAGTCATGCACCACTATATTCCGGCTCAACAGGTAATGCCAGGGGAAGACCAGGGGGGCCCACCATGGTTAAACTTAGTATTTCCGTAAGTCGAAATTAAACTTGCCCTTTGAAGGCCTGGATATATGTGTGTGTGAAACGGGGTTGGGGTTCCATTGGTATAAACAAGATCCTGAAACCATCAGCTATCAAAAATACTGTAACATTTTTTCAGATATATGATGTATATATATATATAATATTATATATATATTTTTTAAAAAAAAAAACATCTTTCAACCAGTATAAACGGACCATTTTCCATAGCCATGTTCCACCGAGGGTGTTCCACCGAGGGTTTTTTTTTCCCAAGCGTCGGGGCTGTCGATGGCGGAATCAGAGCAACTTGTGCCTGAAGCCGTCGGTCCGGTGGTGCTTTCCATGTCGATGTCGTTGTCCATGGCGGCATCCTGATTCGGCGCAGGGATCAAGAAACGGCTAGAGATATGGGATGGATTGGGATGGGATGGTTACAAGATGTTGTAAGGTCACCAGTGGCTACTGCACTTGACTGGTGAAAAAGAACCTGAGTTGCTTTCTGTTCAGTCTCGTTTGCTTTTCGAATCTTTACAGGCTCCATCACCTTACGTCATGTTGGTGCTAGGGATGTGCCAAGGTCATCCATCAAGTCAAGAGTAGCATCAGACTCATCACATAATGTCATCACATGTGGCTGTGCCGTATGCATTCTCCTTCTTGTTGTGCAGCATGTGCATGTTGCTCTCTGTCAGGAACATATTCGCCGCAGTCTCGTGAGACATGCACCTGTTGCAGGAGCTACAAGTGGTATGTGGCCGAAAAAATGGTAAAGAACACTTACAAAGTAACACCCCAGCCATCAATAGCCATCATGCATAAGTCCGTTGCTTCATGGCAAAATTCCCAAAATTCTATCCGAGTGCCTCGAGGCAATTTTTTACAGGTCCCACTGGCCTCAAGCCAGCCCTACCACGCAGGTCAATCTTGGGCCAAACGGCTAGCCGGGAGCTTGGTGGTCTCAACCCTCCATAGAGGCTGCGTCGATGAAACCATTGAACCCATGGCATTGGTTTACCACCAATCCCACATTTTGGCCAAAGTTTTCTTTTTTCCTTGTACGATCCCATTTTCTGCCGGTCTAATTTAATCACCATTTGGGCTTGTCTAAAAATGGAGTACCCCGGGTACCCCACAATATAATGGTATATCTTGTTTTTATCATCAGTTCGCTTGTGCAATTGCACTTTTGAGGTATCCCCACAGTGTGAGACAAACCTGACTCGAGCTGTTGGTCAATTACATCCCATTGTATCCAATCATAGCGACCGACTTACACTTATAGAACCTCAGTTTTGTCCAAATTTTTGGAGCAAACACTTAGAACCTCCTTTGGTCCTTTGGTCCTTTGGGGTAATTGTTCAATCCATATATCCATACATACATCCATACATACATCCACACATACATACATACATGCATGCATGCATACATACACATAAGGAAGTTTCGGCATGGCTGCGGAATGCAGCGGGTGCCATCAAAAACAAGAAAACTTGGAGAAACCTTAGGGAAATGTTTAAAAGAGCAAACCCCAAGATAATTTCACTACAATTTCTTCGATGATTATATGTATATATAGGGCGACCGAATTACACTTTATAAACTGGATATATGTTAAAGTTAAAATTGGGGAGGGTTCTAAGTGTTAATGAAAAATATCATGATTTGGTTCTAAGTGTTGACTTGTTTGGGTTCTAAGTGTACACTTAGAACCTGGTCGATATCAATTTGCCGCTATTTTTTCCAAAATAGGTTCTAACTGTAAGTCGGTCGCTATATATCCCCGTAAAATTGGTGGTTATATTCCATGATATCCCATCATTGTGCCCACATGGTAAAGTAATTCCCAGCCCCGGATACAATAGCAAATAGCCCCCATGTTTGATTGCCGAAGTGTAAGTAACTTATCAATATTAGAATCCCATTAAACATTATTAAACCATCCATGTCGTAATGGTTAAATCACCATTTTCCCAACCATGGTTCATGGGTAAAATGCTGTAGTCACCGGTGAAATCCGACCTTTGAAAACTCGAGTTCTGGGAACCCGGCGGGCTCTGCTTTGAACTGGTGACCTTGTCCGGAAATTCTGGGGGGGGAATGATTACGTTCTGCATATGTTTTGATTTAATCTATTTGTTCATATTTCCGGTCGAACTTATTTACATACACACACATGTATATGCATATATACATAATGATAATAGTTATTTTAATTACTATTATTATTGTTATTATTATTGTATATATTATTGCAAATACGATTGTATTTATTATTGGCATGCGGCATTCACAAATGTATGCAAACATATCTTACTTACTCACAACTAGAATTTTCCATGACGATTTCAACCTTTGGTTGGCAGACGAACCAAATATGGGGATTGAGTCCATTGCAAACGCATGGGTCAAGTTATTGAGCCCAAAAGTTTGAGAGCAAACTAGCCCAAAACAGCCAAGACAAGCAGACTTAAAAATATCCTTGATATGGGGGTCATTTTACATCATCCTAAATAGGGGTATGATTGAACATTAACGCCAATTGTGGGTGGTCTGTCATTGAGTTCACCCAAATCAAGCGCCCAATATGCGTATATACACACATATATATGTAATATGCATATATATATATATATGTTATAATATATATATATATATAATATAATATGTATATATATATACATGTGTGTGTGTGTGCGCATCATATTACCTGCAAAGAAATAAGGATGCGTTTGGTGGATCTTGGGTATCTTTTGCCCTGGTGGTTTCATCCTCACTGGCGAACATGTGGAAATATGGAGGTCAGTGGGGATCATGCCGTTGGTTCCAGGTGCACAAGACAATGGACAGCAGTTTGCAATTTCAGTCGCCCGAAAAAACCGCTCCATCCTCGTGCCATGGTGGATTTACCATGATTTAGCCCTATTTAATCCTATTTATTTACCATGAATTTAGCTTATCTCCACCATTTGCTTTGGTCTAGCCACAAACACCACCAAGGTACAACTCCCCAGGAGGCGGCACAGCCGCGGAAAGAGTGAACTGCCTGGGCCATGGCATTTTTTAAGAAGGCGACCTGATTTCCATCTTATGGTTCTTATCTTACGGGTAATGGTCAAGGATACCTGGTCAATCCTGGTTATCTCTTAGATGATACTGGTTACGTCAATGTGACCAAATTATGAAAACAATGAAATTCTTAGCACCAAACATCATGAAATCATCCAACTTTCTGGTATTCTTGCAGCTCAGCTATGACATTGAGACTTTTTTTTGACATGTTTCAAGCATTTGAGCATATTTGAGTATAATATTCCAGATTCATTCCCGGTGTGGCTTCTGAATCATACAACTTGAACCAAGTGGTGACCCGCCCACCTTGGGATCCCTGGGATCCCTAGGTCCAGGTGATTCACTTTTGCCGCTTCTCGCAGTCTTTGGGCAAGAGTCATTGATCTTTTTAGGCATTTTTGTCACTACACCTGGCCCCACGGGCCAATCTGGGTGATGCCTTGTGCGATCCGTGAGCTCTGGGAGGGCATCTGCGATGATCGCTGAGTGTGATGCAAATGGATAGATTGGACCCACCAAAGCTTCTCCCAGTCGCTTTCGTCGCGAAAATAATCTGCACCCCCTGAAGCAAAACAATAATCACTGCCTGTTTTCTGGCTTTAGGACCAAGAATGCAACCAACATTCAGAAAAAAACATACACCAGTTGATATGACATTACATCATAAATTGGGATGCAGGTAGTTGAGCCTACCATCCCAAGCACACCAACAGTTCTGAGGGCAGTGTGCAGCCTCAAAGCGTTACTACAAAACTGGCATGGCAACAGCCACAGTTTTTGGAGCTTTGGCACTCCTGACACACAGATTTTTCCGACACAGACAAATCTGCGCATTTCTTGTCAGGAAGGCAATGAAGGCCGTGAAGGCCGTGAAGTAAAACCAACGACAAGTTGAAATGATAATTTGATGAGTCTCTCTCTCTCTCTCTCTCTGTCTCTCTCTCTTATATATATATATATGTGTGTGTGTGTGCTCTGCATCCAAAAATTGCATATTTGATCACCCCTTTGTGCCCTAAGGAATCGCATGGAGTCCATGGTTTTCCTCCACAAACGCTCAAGAACTGGCAGCCCAGACGAGCTCTAAACTGCCAAGATTGTTGAGGTGCTGGCTACATGATATCCCTAACATCAGTTTGGATGTAGGTGGCCACAATGGCTGATGTGCCAAGAGTCCTTTCCCTGCATCCAAAAACAGAGGGATGGAGAGGGTGACCAATAGCATGTAAACATAGCCCTCCTTGATGTGGTAAACCCAAAGCTCTACACCCTCCCCAAGTTGCCAGAAATGAGCGGTGTGGACTCCTCAACCATCCCCCGCTTGGAGGTTGTGTTGGGAGCAATAGATGTCTATACCATTCTATACCACATTCTCTCTCCACATGTTTTGAAGGTGTCATTCTCTTCCGAATGTGAACGTCGTGAACGTGGGTTGTATATCCCATTATATCCCATTACATCACCACTGAAAATCCTATGATCCCATTACATCAGAATTATATCCCATTATTACCCTCTGGTAAACTAACATAACTGATGGGAAAATCACCATTTTCAATGGGAAAATCCACTATTTCTATGGTCATTTTCAATAGCTATTTTGACATAACCAGAGGGTAGTCCCATTATTCTCCCAGTATATCACCACATGTTGCTACCGGTCCCCCCCTATTGTTGGAACTATCTCCCTGGTCATATCCCCAGATCTGAAAAGGATGACGTGTCTTCCTCAACAACCGGAGGCCGTGGCCACGAGGCCCACTGAATGCCCGATCACCTGGAGTCGCGCCAGGTTTTAGCTATGGAGAATCACCACTGCAATAGGTAAATCATCAATAAACATCTATAAATGGGCAATTTTCCATGGCTATGTTAAATAACCACGGGGGTATATCCTGTGACAGTATATCATAGTATATCATGTCTGTATGTTTTAATGAATGTCATTGAATGTCTATTTGTGCATCCATGTTTGTCCTGAATGTCTATTTTTGTATCCATTTTTGTGCTATAGTGAATTCATGATATTCATGGTAAATTCATGGAACATTGGTGATCATAGCACGGCACCGGCCTCATCCGACGATCTCAGCATCCTGGGTACCAGGTGCTGATCCTGCATAAGTTGTAGGGGGGCACCAACAAATGAGGGGATCATGAATTTACTGAGGGATGATTTGGATATATTTGGATGATCGTGAATTATGTTGGTTGGAGTTGGTGGATTCTACATCAATCATTCTACATCATCACTCCATCTTCACACGCAGTTCTACAAAACAGCGGCTTGCATGCTCCAATGGATGATGGCTGGAGATATCTAGTCATAAGATGCACGGCCTGTTTGGCGATAAAAGAGGTTCCTACTTTCGTAACCACGGGTGGATAAAGTATCCCTTACATCCTGAATCTCAGCAGCGTCACACATGTTCCATGTCCTGAATCTGCTTGGAATTCCATCAGCTTTGTGACTCGCTTGGCGAAGTCACCTGCGACAGGACAACTGGATTCATCTGGCCCTGGCATATTCAACAGAACGGGAACGCTTTGCCAATAAAAATCGCGGGTTATTGGGATGTATTAGTTAGAAGTTATTAGAAGTTAGGATTAAGCATGATTCATAGATCAAGAAAACAGGACAGCAAACAATGGCAAACAACAAAGATGGAGATGTCACATGATGCAACCAGCTATGGTGGGTGTGGTCTAGTCTCGGCGGGGATTCACCGGTCTGCTGGGCACAACTACATCCGCAAATATGAAACCAGCAATACATGGCAATAGCTATTGCTATATATATATAACTACATCTATATACCACAGTCATGGTCTATCAGTGATCCAAAAAGATACCAACATAAACCAACGTAAAGCAGCTGGGAGATGGCTCTCTTCAGTGATAAAATGGTTTACAAAGAAGCCGGGGGGAGAAACATCACATGAGTCAACTCACCTTGTTTGGTCAACTAAAGGTACCATCTCATCTTCTTAAATAGGACGATCAAACAGGAACAACACATCACAATGCAATTGAACCTGCAGTTGAAAGTCAACATAAAGCAACCATAGGTCATTTTACCAACATGGGACTCTGATTTCTAGTCACTCCATCCAGGCTTAGCTCACGGGTGAGGCGGCAACAAACGTGTGCCTGGGTCTTCAATGGTGTAGCCACCGATCAAAGCAGCTGTTTCATACACCATCATGACCTCATTGCTGTACCGGCAGGGACGATGGGAGGTGGTTGAGCCACCCATCCTGAATTGCTGGTCAACTAGGGTCAAAGAAAGGTGTGTAAAGGTCATGAAGAATTGAACGTCCAGAATGTGCATATCTTTAATGTGATTTTATGTATTACCATGTGTTCAACTCGCACGCAAAACATATCTGAAGCCACCGCCAACATCCAGTAACCAAACAAGAAAAACCTGCTTCGCGTGTCACTCGAATTATGAACTTTGCCAATGGCCAGGGAACCATGTCCTCCGTCTCAGAGGAGTCTGGACTAGTCTCCATGAGGTTCTTCAGTGCCTCAAAGTCTCCAAATTCGCTCTGGGACCCCTCTTGAATCCAAGAATTCATGGTAGTTGACTGCATTTTGGCTTGAAAAGATACAGTACATGGATATACGCATCTGAAAATATAGATAAGGTTGGAGGTAATTTGATGTATTCAAACAGAACCATTTTTCGGACTTAATTTCACTCTGCAAATTCCAATCTTCAGATCTCCTTGAGGGTTGTTGAAGCCAATCCTCCGGTCCCACCCACCGCCTTGATGACACTGTGGGTTGGGTTGATCTCCAGAATAGCCTGACGCAACATGCGCAACGTTGGAACCTGGCTATAGCTGCCTTTAATAATGTGTTCACGCATTGGACACACACACATATATATATATATATTACATAAAAGAATAGATAAATAAATAAAATAAATATATAAATATATATATAATATATATACCCGTAGATACATAATTAACTAAAAATGAATTAGCTCTCGAGCATGGGCAAATTCCACATGGCCATGTTAGATTATGGCAGGCTCTACAAAGGGCTGGAAGGCCACCGAGCATGGGTTGGAATGGTTGCTGTGCGCCTGGTTTCGAGATCCAATGGCAAAGGCACTATCTTGAGCGCCACTGGTGGTCTGGGACTTCATGTAGCGCTGCATCATTGGAGACATACCCCACTCCTTGGAGGCAACCGATGATGTGACATGGCAGCTGGTGTGGAAATCAACGAATGCAACTGCTGTACACATTACCTTTGTCAAAACCGAATCAAGGTTTTGTGGGGCCACGACACTGGCTCATGTCGGGACATCTGCATTTGTTGTTAGGGAAAAATAATGAAACAAATGTCGGTTTGCTCTACTATCCGACCTTTTTTGGTTTGCTGTTTGCTGTTCACATCCCGGGAAAAAAACATGTTTATGGTGTTTTGACCTTGTAATACAGGTTGGCGGTTTCAACCTCCCTCACCAAAAAGCACATTGCTCCACTTGGATATCCGCCAATTTTACTACCTGGTGAGTGAAACCCTCCGTCATTCCATTCCAGCTTTTGCAAATGGCTAAGTAGGGTTTCCCAGTTCATGGATGACATCCTAAATTAATATTGGATAGGATATGATAGCAAATGATCGTATAACATCCCGCAATCATCAACTAACCATCATCATTTTTTCAATGCTATTCACTGGTATCATCCTATGTTTTGATTGTTGCAGAGCCAAAAAAAAGGTTAAGTCACTTGTATCCCCCATTCAATGGATTGGTTTGAGAGAAACTTTACAGGAAAACCCCATCTTTCATGGGAAAATCACGGAAAATCGATGGTTTCCGGTGAAGATTTTCCTTTCAACCAACCCATTGACCCTTTTTTTTCGATGAACAAATCCATCCCCAACGACTGTCCAGGGCTCTCCCTGCACGAGGGTGGCCATCGATTCCACCAAGCGGTCGGAGACCTGCACCTTCTGCACTCGCTCACCTCGGGTTTCTGACTGATACTGGATACTTATAGTATAATAGTTAGTATATACCATTAATATTACTTATGTTTTGATGGTGGAATATAATAGTTAGTATTTACCATGGTTAATATATGGTTAATATTAATGATGGTTAATATTATATCTGGCCAAATTACTTTAATTCTTACCTCGTCTCCCTCGTGTCTTAATTTGTTCCCCGTGATTACTGTCCTCGTTCGTTAATTTGCAGGTGCAAATTAAGGCTTTACCTCGTTAATTCGAAGGAAGAAAGTAGCTTGTGGGCCTTCTTTCCAGGGTCCAACCCCAAGGAAAAAACTTTTCAGCTTCTGAAAAGTTTTTTTCCACGATCCACGGTCTCTTGCAGGGATTTTTAAATCTGAGTCTGATCGGTCTTTGCGCTTCTTGCGCTTGGGTGGTGACATCTCTGACATTATCGCAGAGATGCAATGCTCTTCTGGAGCAACTCTGAATCCTACTGCTTCTGCAGCCGTCAACCCACGAAGCGGGCCTCTGGCGATAGAAAATAAAACTTTTTGGGGCCTGAAAAGTGTTTTTTCCTTCCTTGCCTGTTGACCGGCCTCTGGCGATAGAAAATAAAACTTTTTAGGGCCTGAAAAGTGTTTTTTCCTTCCTTGCCTGCTGACTGGCCTCTGGCGATAGAAAATAAAACTGTTTGGGGCCTGAAAAGTTTTTTTTCCTTCCTTGCCTGCTGACCGGCCTCTGGCGATAGAAAATAAAACTTTTTTGGGCCTGAAAAGTTGTTTTTCCTTCCTTGCCTGCTGACCGGCCTTTGGCGATATAGAAAATAGAACTTTTTGGGGCCTGAAAAGTTTTTTTTCCTTCCTTGCCTGCTGACTGGCCTCTAGCGATAGAAAATAAAACTTTTTGGTGCCTGAAAAGATTTTGTTCCTTCCTTGCCTGCTGACCGGCCTCTGGCGATAGAAAATAAAACTTTTTGGTGCCTGAAAAGTTTTTTTCCTTCCTTGCCTGCTGACCGGCCTCTGGCGATAGAAAATAAAACTTTTTGGGGCCTGAAAAGTTTTTTTCCTTCCTTGCCTGCTGACCGGCCTCTGGCGATAGAAAATAAAACTTTTTGGGGCCTGAAAAGTTTTTTCCTTCCTTGCCTGCTGACCGGCCTCTGGCGATAGAAAATAAAACTTTTTGGGGCCTGAAAAGTTTTTTCCTTCCTTGCCTGCTGCCTCTGGCGATAGAAAATAAAACTTTTTGGGGCCTGAAAAGTTTTTTTTCCTTCCTTGCCTGCTGACCGGCCTCTGGCGATAGAAAATAAAACTTTTTGGGGCCTGAAAAGTTTTTTTCCTTCCTTGCCTGCTGACCGGCCTCTGGCGATAGAAAATAAAACTTTTTGGGGCCTGAAAAGTTTTTTTCCTTCCTTGCCTGCTGACCGGCCTCTGGCGATAGAAAATAAAACTTTTTGGGGCCTGAAAAGTTTTTTTCCTTCCTTGCCTGCTGACCGGCCTCTGGCGATAGAAAATAAAACTTTTTGGGGCCTGAAAAGTGTTTTTTTCCTTCCTTGCCTGCTGACCGGCCTCTGGCGATAGAAAATAAAACTTTTGGGGGCCTGAAAAGTTTTTTTTCCTTCCTTGCCTGCTGACCGGCCTCTGGCGATAGAAAATAAAACTTTTTGGGGCCTGAAAAGTTTTTTTTCTTCCTTGCCTGCTGACCGGCCTCTGGCGATAGAAAATAAAACTTTTTGGGGCCTCAAAAGTTTTTTTCCTTCCTTGCCTGCTGACCGGCCTCTGGCGATAGAAAATAAAACTTTTTGGGGCCTGAAAAGTTTTTTTCCTTCCTTGCCTGCTGACCGGCCTCTGGCGATAGAAAATAAAACTTTTTGGGGCCTGAAAAGTTTTTTTTCCTTCCTTGCCTGCTGACCGGCCTCTGGCGATAGAAAATAAAACTTTTTGGGGGCCTGAAAAGTTTTTTTTCCTTCCTTGCCTGCTGACCGGCCTCTGGCGATAGAAAATAAAACTTTTTGGGGCCTGAAAAGTTGTTTTTCCTTCCTTGCCTGCTGACCGGCCTCTGGCGATAGAAAATAGAACTTTTTGGGGCCTGAAAAGTTTTTTTTTCCTTCCTTGTCTGCTGACCGGCCTCTGGCCCCCAAAAAAGTTTTTCTAGCCAAGCCCAAGCATGCAACAGAACCAATGCAAGGCTACCTCGTCGAGGTCGTCTAATTCTGATGAGCAAATTAAGGGCTGACCTCGCTAATTCCTGCAACCTGCCTCGTTGCCTCGGCTGTCCTCGCTATAATTTGTGCAGATTATATGGTTAATGATTCTTAAGAATGGATACTGGTTGGTGGTTAAAAAAACATCTTGAAAAATATGAGTCAATGGGGTTGGGATGACATCCCATATAATGGAACATAAAATTCATCTTCCAAACCACCAGCCAGGATATCTATGGATACTTTACATGTACAAATTACAAAAAACAACACTCAGAACTGATGTGATTGTTTTGTTGTTACTAATTTTAAGATCTTCTTAGAGACATGATTGGTTCTTTAAGTTGATGTAAAAGGATAGTTTGATTTTCTGCGTGGGGGTTGCTATATGTGGTTTACTAAGCACCCAACCCAAAAAATGCAAAACAGTAAAATCTATTCAAAGAGCTAGTGGTAAAGTTAGTATGTCCGATCCTATTTTAGGGGCAGCTCAACACCTTGGAAAAAACATGTGGTGTTTTGTTCACTGGGTTTTGCACGGCTAAAATCATAGGTGATACAGCTGTGTATCATCCTGCGGTAGCTGGAGAGACCAATCTATCAATTACAGGTTCAGATGCTAAAATAGTGGCTTTGCAGCCATAGGCATGTTTAGGGCAGTCCATATTCAATCAAATTCAATCACATTGATTATATTCTATGTAGGTACAAATGCCAAAAGTAGATGGTACCCCATGTTGAGCTTGGTAAAAAACCCACCGGACCCGCTGATGTGCCACCAAAGAACCCAGCTGCTTCTTCAACCAGGTTGCAAGGGTCTCATATTCCTGCAGGATACCCTCCGGTAATTTTGGAGTATGAGATTGAACATGACACATTTCTAGATGAATTATGATTAACTACCTATGGAAAACCGGGTGATTCTCCGTAGCTATGTTCAAGTATGTTTAATTGCCAGAGGGTAAGTTATCTGGAAAGCCGAAATGGCTTGCACTACAGTACATTTTCTGCGATGTATGAATGGATATGGATACCCCCCCCCCAGAATTTACACATGGAAACTGTATAGAACTGTGAAAAAATGATTTCAAATTCAGGGGCTTCGGCTTTCTGTGTCAACTTTTAGGGCTGTAGCTGGGATGATGAATCAAAATATCAGTAGCAATGGTGGATTCGAGTCGTGTCCATATTCCTTTCCAGTCCATGACCTCAATTGGGAGCCATCTCCATAACTATGGTAATGTTAGTTTTTTGCAACAATAAACCACCCATATTTTGATGATCTATAGCATCCATTTATGGTGATTTTGGGGATGGTTCATGATTGCTTTACCAACAAACTGGTTGGGAGATGTTCTACCTGCCACTGGTTGATCATCAGCAATGTATTAGCGGCGTGTCTTGCCATAATGCACTTGTGGCACATGAATGTACATGATTGTTTGGTATTTCGTTCCATAATGTTCCATACCTTTCAGGGTTTCCCTGTTGTAGCGTATCCCGATGGATCCAAACACAAACATCCAAACATGCAGGCTTGCAGGATGTCCAAATCATTCCAAATCTAAAGCAATAACCTGAAACAAAAGCATACCCCTAGTTGGTAGCCACAATCTTTAGGAAAGCAATGGTGGAAAATCTAGTTCGGAAACATGGCCACAAATTGAGTGAGTTCCAGGATGTTCCAAGATCTTAATTCTGGGTCTTCCTATGGGTACAATTTTTTGCTCTTTGCCACAAAACATGGTTCTTAGGTGAAACGGCGATTCTTCATGTTTTGTTGACTCATGCGTTCTGAGCTACTTTGTAGTTGTCATTCTTATCAGAAGGGCGGCAAAAACCATGCGATTTTTGTTTGACGGCGAAAATTATGTACCTCCGGGTTTCCTAGGTATAACATCCACCATGCACCTGCCTTGATGGTGTCTTCCAACTCCTTCTTCTCCTCTTCGCCTTGGGCGTGTTGGGTGTGTGCTGTTGACAAATGTTGACAGGGAAAACCAAGATCCAAACGATGGTCAAAACAGCTAAGATGTGATCTACATTGAAAACACCTATCATTGTAATTATATGGAAACCATCGACAAACACATGATTAAATATTATATAATATTATATACATATGGTTGAATGCAGATTTTCATGTGTTGATTCCCCAAAAAAACAGATGCCCAAGTCCTCACCCAGCTGAGGTGCTCTTTTCAAGGTCCAGGCCGGCCTTGTTGATATCCACCAACTTCTTTCCCTGCATCGGATTCCCGGGGATCCGGACCGATCCGGCCTATGGATCTGGTCCGGAAAAAAAGGGGCACCCCCCAAATCCCATTGGTTATCATCATCTTTCCCATGAAATATCATTTTCAGGGGTATACCAGGTATACCACTATACTGTTAAGTTATATCATATCCCATCTTCCGAAACACCCAACTATCACTGAAGATGAGTCAAGCGCAGCATCAACGCCCATGGCCTCGTAGTCCACGATACTCTGACTGCAAATCTCATCCAAAGGATCCACCATGTACAGCACCTCATAGTCCTGCCATGTGGAGATGATATGCCCTGGAAAAAACTGACCCCAAGCCGATGACACTTGGGAATGGAACCACTCGAAGATCTAAAACTCAGACTTCACCGCCAATGCCAAGAAAGGGGATTCAACTATACCAGAAAGGAGATATGAAAGATCATTCAGGCATAATCATTCCTCATGTTTGGCTGCTTACGATCCCCATTTTCGTTGGTTAAACCCAATTTGCTACAGGCAATATGTTGTTTTCATGTTCGTGGTGAACACCTCATTTTTTCCATATTTTGTATGGGTTGAATCCCAGTTCTGTGGCTATCGTTAAAAAAATCCCACTGGCACATCTTCTAGGGAAAACACCAAAAACATCCATAAAACAAAGTTGTAAAATACTGCAGGCAATGGATCAATCGGTCATTCCCTAGCGACTTCTGCTCCCCAAGATCCCGCGACGAGTCTCCTTGAGCCTCATCTTCTCCATGGCAGGTGCAATCTCTGCGGCGCGCTTGCCCTCACCGGTCACGAAGTAGATCTTGTCCTGGCCTTCCTGCAGGACCGTGGATGGTGGAACTCTATGGGATTTATATAATGGTGATTTAATTGTGTTTTAATGGGTAGCTAACCAAGTTGATATGATATTTTGGGGTCTGAAGAATCTGAAAAATAAGATGATATACCTTTCAAATATAACTGTTTTAATGGAAAAACATTATGATAAATATGATAACCGCTTAGAATTAGGCAAGTACCCTAGGCTATTTCCACAACTCCAAAGAACCAACCCAAAGCACCAGCTATATTGTGCAATTACATAACGGCCATTTATTCACGGGACAATGATGATGATTGATGATGATTCTTTGGAATTGGACCACTCCATTTTTCAAACTCATTTTATCATGGGGATCATCTTTAATATCTTTAATTGTTTCAACGTTTTTCATTGTTTCATCGTTTGACCTACGCACAGTGCATTGCTCTCCCAAGGTCCGACTGTCCTTCATTCGACTGATGTACTCATCCAAGCTGGTCTGGTTGTCACCGCTCTTGGAAGACCAGAAACGGACGAAGCGCTTCAACTCATCCTGGGGTCGTCTTGGAGACTTGGCGCCAACTTGGCGCATGGAAGTTCTAAGAAAAGGATAGTTGTAGAAAGAAAAATGGATGGATACACCAATGATATCCAATGATGTCTGTATGTATATATATATATATATCATGATATATCAACCTTGGTTCACCTGACCTTTCCGTTGAGACGAACCACCTCGACTTCCAATTACTCCAGACCCTTCTTCCTTGGGCACTGTCTTTCCGGACGCCGACTTATCCTAGACATCAGCTGTCCTTGTAATCCAAATCCTCGACCAAACCAACCTTGAAGTATTTGCCATAGCCTGGAAAGGCCAAAAACTTCACAGCACTGGAGGTTTCACTGAACCGTTGCCATTCCCTGATGCTGGATGCAACCATCACCTGAACTGTCAGTCAAAAATTGTAACCGGCCCTATACATAGCCTTGAAGGTTTTGACATGATGCTGTTACTTCTTGGTACTTCTCAGTTCCGAGATGTGGGCAAATGCCTTCTTCACGAACATTCATTAGCCCAGATCCTGGATCAAGGCCTTTAAATTTTCCCACAGTTCTCTAATGGGCGATAGCATATGACGGCTCCAGTCACCAGTGGAAGAGCTGAGGCGCTGGTCCAGAAGGACTCAAACTTGTCAGGATTGCTCTCCCGGAGGTCCTGAGAGCGATCTCCAACGTCATTAACTATGAGAACCACACGAAAGTGCACACCTTGACTATCCTTGACTTGATTGGATTTATCAGCAGCTACTCAGCTACTCAGGTCTTTCGGATATTTCGAGAGAAGATCTTAATAAACCAAATAAATTCATGCAATTTTCATGAGTATCTGGTGTTTGACGGAGAGTTTCTTGTCAGTATGTCTTGTTTGTGCCAGGAATCATCGATGGTGTCAAGCACCTTGCGCACCACTCGCTTGCGGATAATCTTCAACGTTCCTGGCTGTGCTTTCGAAGCGTCCCCAAAGGCTCTCAAAACTATCTGCCCAAGAATGCTAATTTCATATAGTCTTACCCCAACCAGCACCCACCCCAAACAACACCAACATCAAGAACGCACAAAAAAAACAAAAACACCACACAATTCCAAAAGTGGACATCAACTGCAAAAAAAACTCACCCAAAAACATTGAAAACAATATAACCCAAAAACATCGGAAAAAAAAACAACGAATCACCCAAAAACATTGAACATTAAACGACGGATCACCCAAAATCACTGGAAACCAACACGTTCAACACATCATCCCAAAAACAATCCCAAAAATATCCAACAATCCGCATCATCCAAAAAAAACATCAACAAAACAAAACAAACATCAAGGGCATCCTGGCACCGCCCAAGGTACGGCTCTTCTGCAGGATCTCTCGTCCCACGTTCAGCGGAAGATCCTCAGAGTCCACCACACCACGGACGAAGGTCAGCCAGCGAGGCACCAGGTCCTGGTTCAGGGCGATACGGGGCGATGGTGAAGATCCCAGGGCAATTCCACGGGCTATGGATGGTTTGGTGATTGGATTTCTATGGGGTTTCTATCATTTTTTTGTGGATTTCTAGATTTTGTTCTATGGATTTCTATGGGTTCCGGCTGATTTCTATGCGTTTCTGTGGGTTTTGATGTGTTTTTCTTTCTCATCTTGTTTGAACGGGTTTCACTCCGGCTCTTGCATTTCAATGGCCCCTTGATCAACATGATTCGCAATGATCTGTGGATGCAAATGTACATCACATATAAATCTGTGTGTGTGAGATAGATAGAATCAACATGAATCAACCTAAAAAATGGTGGCATGCAAAACACATCACATACATCGATGCCATGATCAAAGCGAGATCATAGGTGGAAATAAGATCAGGTGTGTCAATCCAGTATTATCTCATCATATTTTGCTTGGAAGTAATTCATGCCTCTCCTGTTTTTGACGGTAACTAGAATATGTCAATCATGCTTTATCTTGCTTTATCTTGCTTTGATCTGCTGCTTCTGCTGACCATTTATAATGAGTTGGCGACTCAGTCGAAGGAAATCAACATTGCTCCTCAAATTTGTAGACATGTTCAACCAGTTTCACTTCCCGAAATGGCGAACGAACTACTTAAGAACGCGTTTTTGCCGGCGGGATCTCCTCAAACTTGTCGTTGATGAAGACCCGCTTCACGTAGAGCCGCATGGCCCGGCCCTCCGGTGAGAACATGTCGCGCGTGAGCTCGAAGGGCATGGTGGAGGGGATGAAAACCAGGGCGCGGAACTCGATCTGACCTGTTTCAACCAGCAGGAATGGATGGTTGAACCATCTTAAACCGTCAAACACTGGGATTTCAATGGATTTAACCATCAACATAGGAACTAAAATTGTGATTTAAGATGGTTTAATGTCCCATCGAACGGCGATTTAAGATGATTTAAGCCACTGCTAACGGGACATATTTACCATCAATCAATGTGTTAGCACGCAATTGCACAGAAAAATCACGTTGTCCAAAACAACAAGTATACGGATGTTAAACAACTATACAAATCCATACAGCACTATGATGGAGATCCATGTTGAAGCGTCACTACGGGCATTCCAGTGCCAGACACATTGCCGGGTTGTGGTTGGTTAACTCCCGAGTTAAAATGGGATCTTGGTCAGATCCATCCCCCATACAGTATATCCACGTATACCGATACCGATACCTCCATATATCCCCAAATATGTGTGTATATATATATATACAATACATCCACATATATCCCCGTATATTGTATCGCAAATCTGCTCATCCACACGTGGATCACGCAACTACAGGACCCACAGGTGGGATTACCTGTGACTCAACTCATTTGTCCTGGCCAAGCCTCCATCATTTGTGATCGCTTTCCCAATATCAGCCATCTTTTTTTTTTGAGCCATCATTCATCACATACGGTGAGGTCGTTTGGGTTGGCTACTAGGGCTATCACAATCACTACAGGAATGGGCCCCTGAGATTATCAGTTGGTTTACACACCCACCCAACTGCCAACATATGCAAATATACCATAGTACATCCGTCATAAAACCTAGTTGACCTAGTTATAAACCAACTTGCCTCTCTGGGGACCACTTCCGGTGCCGCGCCTTCCACCTTGAAGTGTGTCACAGTCATGGGCTCATCGAAGGCCTTGGGAAAGCAGTCCCACCAATTGAGGTTATCACACCTCAATCATAAGTCATGTAAATTCATTTCTATGGTTTATGCATGTTTATGCTATTCATTCATGTCTGCATCTGAAATATTCTGAAATCTACTGAGCCTATGTCATTAAAGATTGATTAAGCGATCATTTGTTCATCTCATCTGCCACACAAAGTCATCTCACCTTGAAGGTGGTCTTGTAGAACTCGGTGTATTCAGACTGGTTCACCACATCCGGGTTTCGCAGCCAGATGGGCCTTGGGCAAACCACACGAGGCTAAGCAAAAGCTGTGGGGTTTGCGGCACTTGATGAGTGAGTAGTAGAAGGGCAAACACGGTATCCAATAGTTGCCTGGGGCTCAGGAGTCTTTGGAAAGGTTCCATTGATGGATGATATCATCTTGCATTGCTGTGCTGTATCTTTTTATATCTAAGAGAACCCCAAAAAAAAACATCTCCACAAATTCTTGCCTGGAAAATTTGCCATGGAAACAAACCTCTCAACCACGTATGTAAACGCAAAATGATGTAACAAGATGTGATGGAGAATGCAATGTTATTACCTTATTATATGTTTATTTCTCCCCTAGCACCATCAGCAAAGCCCCTCATATCATTAATTACATGCATGTATTATAATGTACCTATTTGGGATCTCTCTGTATGCGCAGTCCCAAGCAGCTTCATCTTGTTCATGATGTCCCACTCATAGACGGAGCGTGGCACACTCTTCATCTTCTGCTTCTCACCCTCCTTGGGAGGTGGTGCGGACTCATCGGGCACCTGGTCGTAATGGACCTTCTCATTGAAGAGCTCGATGGGGAAAGTGATGAACTCACTGTACTTCCTGAGGGACACAACAGCGGTTGTATGTCATTTTTTTGGGTCTGTCTGAAAATGGGGGTTTAACCCCCCATGTTGTGGCGATTTTTTGGTGGGGAAAATGATTTTTTCACCATGTTTCTCCAGGTATTATGTTTTTCGTATATAGGTTTAGGGATATCTGCAGAATCCCTCATTTTCAAAAAACGCTAATACCGATGTAAATCATACGCAATTTGTGCCGTGACTTTTGCTGCTAGGCGCTGCTAGGACTTCCCGGCCACCTGATTGACCATCCCAAATTCGCACTGTCAACTCTGGGTGAATAAACCTCCGATGTCTTCAACTCAGAGGGGTCAATCTTAAGGTTATGTCACACACACACATATGTATATATATATATAACTGCACACTATGATAAACATTGATAAACAATAAATAAACTTGAATAGGTTACTCAATTAACTAAACTAAACCTCCGTATTGATATTTTTGGATGACCTCCAACGTCAATCACCAAGCAGCTTCAGCAAGTCTGACAGCTTGCCGGTGTCCAAGTACTCCTCCAGGATTCGGAACATCAAAACCGCCCAAATCTGGACATGGCTATTGTGAACTCTCAAATCCCAGAAGCCAGGGTTCCAACAACTGGCCAGAATGGAACCTTGATTGGGATATCCCTCCTGAAAAAACAACTGGCCAACAAGCTACGTTTGATCTCGGAAAACCAGCTGGTCGGTCATATCCACTGCGAAAGATTTGATGTCGTCATTGACGGCACCCTCTAACATTCATCAATATTCACCATCATTCTCATCCTCAATATCATCACCATCCTCATCATCATATCCCCATCATAATCATTATCTCCCATGTTTCATGGTTTAATCTCCATCTTCCCATATTTCCCCATTGTCAGATGCGGTGGATGGCCAGGGCCACAGGGATGTCTCTCCTGCGCTTCCTCCCTGAGGTGCAGCACGATCTTGGTGCCGCTCTGCTCACCAAAGAAGTCCTCCTTTGGAGCCTCCACGATTTTGTAGGAATGTCCTAGGGCACCCAGTTGATGGGTTTTCATATGTTTTCATGCTTTATATAGAAAAATATGGCTAATATAAAGTTGATGGGTTTCTGTTTATATGACACAATATGGGTGCTGTATCGATAGTTAGATGGGGGATAAAGAGGCAAACTCTGTGCAGGTTCCGATATTCAATTAGGTATGGAAGATCCAAACGGAGAGAGCAAGCAAATGCCCTGGGATAATCAAACAACTTCAGATCCCAAATGCCACAACGAGTGTTTCAAGACATGTTTAGGCTCTTAAATTTTATCTGCGAATCTGATCAAACAAACAACATCAACACTCCAAGCCAACAACTATATAAAATACTATAAAAAATGTTGGCCCAACAACAAGAACAAAAACAAAAGAAGAACATGAAATCCCTCCATAACGGTTAGAACCACATGTAACGGTTGTAAAATTTGTATTTATTTGTTGCAACTGTACCTGAGCAACGCCGCTGGTCCTGTGGAAGACCAGAACCAGGTCTTTCCATCCGACTCCTCTTTGAAGCTTCGGGAATAGACGTCCACCTGCAGCTCCAAACACGTTGGAATCTGAGTGATCGGGTGACCTGTCGTTTCAAAAAAATAGCAGGTTGGATTTTTTCCACATTCCTGAACTATCTGAAACTGAAATTTGGCCCTCAAACTCAAGTGGGAGTTTGAATCCAGGTATATATATAATATTATATATAATTATATATATATATACCCAGCTCATAACCATGGTGCAAATAGAAGTGGTTGATACTGGTTGCACCAGAACGACTGACGCTCCCAAGACCGGGACCTTGTTGGCCACCAGGAAAGCGGAGTAGAAACCCACACCAAACTGGCCGATCAAACTCACATCTGCGTCACCTCAGGACACGTCTTGTTTCCTTAGATTTGGATGGATAGACATTTACTATACATTTTACTACTATAAAGGTTGGATAATAAATCATCATAAATGTGGATTCGCCAAATTTGGATGGATGTTGTTTTTGGATGATGTGGGATCATCATTGAAATTGCAGCATGGGATCGTGTTTTATCGTGTTGTGGACGGGGGGTGGTCGCCTTGATGCAGGGTAGCATCAGTTCCCTCGTGCAACAACAATTCTAGTGGTGTATTGACCGCTTTTTCAGACAAGGCCCAATATCTACCCCATGAAAAATCTCGGCTGTTATCTCTACTGTAAGTCTATTGTAGTCCAATCCGGCATAATTCCATGATGGCAATACTTTGTCGCAACTGCGGCCATTTTTTGGTGTGAAAAAATGCTGTGGGTCTGCCGGTCTACGCGGCCAAGATTCCGCTTCCCAGCTCCTTCACGAAGTTGGCGGTTCCTGTTCAATGCTTAGGACAGGAGATGACCAGGAGGCTGGTTGATGTTCCACCCCTGTGGCATAGCAATATCACAATGCATGTAATGGTGCTTTTGTGGTGACCATTGTGGCCCCTTAACCTACTATTGTAACTGGGGGTGTATTAGCCATATTAACCCATTAGGCATCATCAATCATGACTATCCACCACTAGCCATCATTAACCCGTCATCAACCATCATCAACCCATCATCAAGCCATCATCAAACCATCATCAAGCATCGATAACCATCATCATTAACCATTATTAGCCATCATTATCCATGACCAACCATTATTAACTACTTTTAACCCAACATTATCATCACTGATAACCATCATTAGCCAACATTACCACCACTGCTCGTTCAGGACTCCAGCTCACCCAAAATTCACCCAACTTACCCGGACGGCCTGACCGGGCGATGCGGCCCAAGTTCTCCTTGAGCTCCTCCTTCAACATGCCGACGCCATTGTCCTCTGCAAATTGGTAAAAGAAACCTTCTCCCAGTGTTGCCAAGGTCAATCACCTGATTCATTCTATATTCCAAGCTGTTTTGAAATGGCTTTGAGATGTTTTGAGCAATTCGCTTCAACATGGGGGTGATTTTGGGAATCTGGCAGCAACTGGGAAGTGGTACATGGTGGACTAGTCTGACTGCAAACATCAAGTGTTCAATGTTCAATTACCGTTACTGGCTCTGTCTCTCTCTCTCTCTCCCTCATCGTTTTCTTGCCAGGTTATAATCGCCCTCAAACCTCAAACACATCGTTGCCAAAAATGCACTACAAAATCTGACAAAACAGTGGTTTTGCTTTGCGTATCTTTGCTTGAAAGACTTTGAAACCTGAAAGTATATGTCAGAGTGCGAGTACTCTTTCAAATCCTTCAACTGTTGTCTGACACCTTTCAATGTTTGCCACCCATCAACTCAATTCATCACTCCTCGATGGTGAGTGTTCTGGCATCCTGCAAGCACGGGTAGCAGCGAGTAATCACACCAAAACATCATCCGGGCTTTGCCAAGAATGGGGGGGTACCCAAAATGGCATATTTAAGCTGATTAATTAGAATATTGATAAATCATGGGATTTGGGGGCACTCTTTTCTCAGACACACCCCCTTGTGACAGCGATGTTTTCAATCAACATATGCATGCCAAGACTGGACCATAAGCGGTTGGGAATCTCATGAAAAGACCTTTGGACTTGGTGAGCTGCACTTGATAGCGTGCAAAGGACCTTCAGGCCAAAAACAGCAACCAGCTACTCACAATTTAATCACATCAATCACATTTGTAACCCCGACTCGTACCCATCTCCCAACATAGCCCCACCACTTTCTTAGACGCAATATGACCACAAGTAACATTCATTAACCCGCATCCCACCGACGAAAACTCCATAGGTTGCCGCGCCTTGTCGGTGTTGATGCGCAGCTTCATGGGCTCCGGCGGCGCGTCGCTGTTGGTGAGCGCCAAGAAGCGCTTCTTGTCGCAGGCGTCCGCTGCGTTGGAGACCAACTCGCGCAGGAACACGTCCTGCGGTTCCATTGGGGGATGGGATTCGGCTGTGTGGGGTTGAAATGGGGGATACAGATGGGATGCAGTGGGAGGAGGAAACTATTAAGACTAAGACAATGGTTGATCTGTTGCTGTATCTATTTTTTGCGGAGGGTTCATTGGAGGGCACTATCCTGTTTACAGAGCATAAATCCTGTCACTCGGGAAAGGGGGCTCAGCAAATGTGGGACTTGAAACTTAAAGACAGCCACGCAGGGTACACCAACTGGTATGCTGATATGCTGCTGTACTGAGGCGCTCAACTTTTTAGCAATCCCAGAATGGGCCGTAGGACTGCAAGAGACCATGCGAAGCCAAATCAGCAGTCCCTGAACAAGTATCATAGACGTCATGTAGGTGTAAGATGTGTAAGATTGCCACCACAAGGGATGAGTTGGCTCAGCACATGTCACATGGAGGCACTTTAAAAATAATTCCAAAACAGGACGATGTCATACGCTCACGCGTATTCGTTTGTCCTCACCTGCATTTTTCATTGCCTTCAATTTTGCACAGTTTTTACTATCTTCAGTCTCCATGTCTGCCATCTCTTCCAGATATACTGTCTATAATTATTGAGTCGGAGTTTTGTTCAGCCAGTTCAGCCAGTTTAGGATCCAGTTTAGCCAGTTCAGCCGATGCCTCTGCATGAACAATCTTGCATTTGCCTCTGCTTCCTCAAACACTTTCACTTTGTTCTTCACAAGAGCTCCACGCTCCGTCTCTTTTTCCACTGAGTCAAATCATCCACTTAAATGGTTTCCAGAAAGATTCAATAATATTTCAAAACAGCCATGTTTTTTTTTCCCCACCTCCCACCTAAGGACCAGGTAGGTCCACCTCCATGGTAGCAGTCCTTGTTGGAGTACAAGGAGTTGATGATGATGTCCATCACTCTGCCCACCTCGGCCTGAAACTCAAACTCCTCTCCCTCGGCTCCCTCGGCCGTCTCGGTTTTTTCGGCGGTGGCGCTTTCACCGCGACGGGCCACGCTGAATTGCCTGCGGCGCGCAAGGCGACCATGGGCCATGGGGGGCTGCAGAAATGAGTTATTTATATGAAAATCACGTGAAAATCATTGAACATCTACAGGATATCCCAAACATAGTGCAGTTTTGAAGGCATTTTTTGGTGATGATTGCCCTGGCCAAACATCGTTGATAGGTGGTAAATAGCTGGGTAAACAGTTTGCTGATGTTTGCTGCATCATTCATCGAAATGCAATAGGTCGAAGCTGCTTTTTTTTGGTCTGACAGGGAGAGTCGGAGTCCAGAACTGCTGTCCTGAGATCTGGGAGGAAGAGCCAATTCATATCCACATGTTAGAACGCATCAGACCCAAACACCGGATGAAAATCAAACAACACATTTGAATCCATTGGATATGGCATGATATGGTTCTAGCAACAGCAGCACCTCCGCTGCTGCGAGGTCTTAGGATGACCGGCCAAGGTGGAGAAAGCCATGGGAACTCCAAAGTACCTGCGGCCGCTCAGCCCCATGCAGATCTTTATCAAGTAGAGCCCCAACAAAAAATGGTTGTATCTGAAAATGGTGTACCTGCAAAATAGCAGTTTAATGGGGGGATAATGATGATTAACCACTAAAGGGATCTAAGATGATCTAAGGTTACGGGCTTCCTTTTCTTCAGACAGAGCCAAATTGGTTTTGGGCAATTCAGGCCAATGTAGCATGTGCTTTGGAACACAGCAATTGACATCTTACCCTCTTACCCTCCTACCCACCCATCTGGGACTTGCCTTTCTAGGGTTCAACAGTTCTTGGCCCTTCCCAAGTCGCAAGAAATGAGACAAAGGGCATGATGATATTGGCATTGTGTGCCCCGCTTATCTTTCTGCCACCAAATGTAGGAAACACTCTCTTGCTCGAGTCGTCTCTCATTGACTTCACACAACTGGGAAACACTAAGGCAAATAGTAAATAATCATCGCAGTAGTGATACGCACTGCGCCGTACAACTACCATTTCAGGAAACATCAGGAAACAATATTACTAACTATGACTATAGACTATGGCAATCTACGGCATATTGCTGAATAAACCATGCGAGTGTTTAACACTTTAACTTAATTATGCCCTTTCCATGACTGGACCATCATCTTCCAACCGCAGGTTCTCCATGGTTCCCGCCAGGGAACAGCAGGAAGCCACACACCAAAGAGGTCAAAATTGGTGAGGCTTTCGCCCGAGATGATCGCATTGGGGTCGCCATGCTACTCAGCTGCCTGGCCGATTCAAAAGTGGACCAGATGTCTGTGCTGGAGCCGAAATGCTGCCACGGGGAGCGACATAATGTACCTTGGCAGGCCCTGATAGGCTGCATGCAAAACAACTTGTTTTTGAAAACAACAGTTTAAACCACTTTGCCTTGATTATCTTGACTCCTCTGCGCAAACGGATCTGACCACAGATTGAAGACTCCCAAAATCTCTGAAAGTGATGCAAAATCAGCAACCCTCCACACAAAGCTTCCACAAGAGGCAGCTGCTGCGACGACAGCCAAAATCTCTCCACAGTTGAAACTATCTGCATACTCAGCTGGAGGCAGTTCTGCATGACGCCCGCGCAGCAACTCCAGGAAAACCAGCTGACAGCAAGGTGAAGAGGTTGCTAACGGCAGTGGCGAGAAAAACAAATCTGCAGATCCCACAAGCACTGAGGATCATAGTGACGTCTGGAATCCACAACCTGTTTCAGATTCTTGTTCAACTCCATCTGTTCCAATGGGATTCTTAAAGCTGTTCCGAAAATCACTAGATTTTGGAGGACCGTTAAAGGTACTGAAGTGCGCGGCCATGGCCACTTTCATTCTAAGCTGGCCACTGGCTGTGAGCGATAGAGCATGCACTGGCTCCCAGCATCCCTGGCAGGGCGGATCAAATTCCTACAAAATGCAAGGCATTTCTTTGGGCAACTGCATGTGCTGGTCATGGTGGCTTCGTTCAACCTGATCAAACAGGTGTGTATGCTTTAAACGTATATAGCACCCACAAGGCCCTGAAACTGAGGCAAGAGCATGGAGATCAGCCAAACTGTGACGTCTGCACTGCTTGTTAGCTGAAATGCATCAAAACCTGAAATGCCTATATAATATATATTCGGATATATATATATATATATATGGAGACATTTAGCCGCAAATTTATCCATCATCATCATCATCATCATCATCATCATCATCATCATCATCATCATCATGTTCACCATGGTGTAATGGTTTTACTTTTTAGCCATATAATGATGGTAAGCACCTTGATATCACCCAACTTCCCTCCATCATCTGCGGTCTGCGACTTGACCATCTTCCCAAGTCCGAGCTGTCTGGACCCTGCCTGACAGGAGGGATCTTGATGGGCCTCACAGCGGGGCAATGACGCCCGGGGCTCTTGGTAAAAATTGGAGCTCCTGGAACTCCTATCTTTAGTCACTTTAGTCACTTTTGGGCTGCCCCACATCCAACCGCGCAAAGGCTGAGAATTGCTGCAGCAAAATCACCTTGGTCACGGCCCTGGGGGTTGAAGAGTGACAACAGGTAGGGTACCCGCCAGTTGAGGAGAAAGCAGGCTGAATCCAGGCTACAACGTGAGTTTTAACTCAGACTCAGTCCCCAAACAAGTTCAACATAGTTCAACGCCCATGCTCAATGTAACTCAACATGCTTAGAGGACATGATGATGCATATACAATTTCCCTCCGGCTTGTGTCATTGCCAAAGGCACTCCAGCAGTTTCTCGTTCAGGGCCTGAGAGATTGGAACTTGCAGGGCTGCGGGGGTTGGATCCTAAGCCTTCCCAAAATACTTTTTTTTTGGGGGGAAATGGGTGACAGGATGTATAGGTCCCAGATGTAAATGTATATCGGTCTGTCTATCTATCGATCTATCGATCTATCTATCGATTGATCTATCTATCCATCCATCCATCTATGTGTGTTCAGATATATGTATATATATATATATACACGTATATATATATATATATAATTATATATATATATATCAATATTGGGTAACTACTCCCCAAAATGGGATGGTGTCTACTAATACAATGACCAACAGCGGGTTTTTGTGGGTCCATACCTTGGCGGAGGAGCTGCCAGGAGCTCGGCCAATCTACCTGAAGTATAAGGAGCTATATTCAAAATAAACATGCCATAATTAATCAAAATAAACATCATCAAATCTGATTTCGATGATGACGATGATGAATATGAAGTATGATAACTATGATGATTTATACCCATTATTTTGAATATGAATATGAATAACCCATGGGTATATGAGGTTACGAATGCATAACTTATAAGTCATATCATAATTATGATTTACTATGAATTACTATGGTTACTTAACCCATTAATATGAATATGAATTACTATAACCCATTAATATGAATATGAAGAACCCATGGGTATATATTTCATAATTATGATTTACTATGAATTACTATGATTACTTACTATGATTTCATAATTATGATGATGACCTGACCCATTGAGGCCGGATCTGAGGCCCACACTCTGGATGCGATGCATGGCCGCATCCAAGGCGCCTTGGAGCATCGGCCTGACAGGCCGTGTGGGCTGCTTGGTGTGTTATCATCGGCATATATATATAATTATATATATACACGTGCACAACATGTATACTGTTGGTGTGTAAATGTATATTATTGTATATTGATACGAATATACCGGCATATCATTTAATATCATTTACAAGCTCTTCCTTGTTGTATCCTTTGAATTCTCACTGCATCTATACACCTCTAAACGAAATGGCTTTGCTGCCAAAGTCTAGGCCCACTTGCCCAGCCTTTCTGAGACGTGCTGCACCCGAACCTGTCATTGATGATTTGGGGTATGGGCCGTATAGATATGGGCATGGATCAAACTTGAAGGGTAAGGAGGCCACAAGATGTTTGGCAATCCTTTGTGGTAACAAGTCACCGAATTCTTGGGTGCCCCAAACATGAATATTTCCAGAACCAAAAGCACCCTGGGGATCTCATGAGATCTCTGTGGTAAATTGATCAAACAATGCCAGAGTGACGGGGAGGAAGCAAAACGCCATAGCACTCTGATTCCCCTGGCGTTCCTGACAGCTGCACGCTTTTTCAGCAAGAGAAGGACCAACGGTTCAAGTCTGTGTTTCTCTTGCTATGTTTGCATGCGTTGAAAGAGAAACATGAGAACCTATTGTGATTTTAATGTGTATATATATAATATATATATATATGTACTTATACGTGTATATATATATATAACATATACATGGAGGTACATATATACATGTACTGTATATGTGCAAAGGCATATGTCCGTACCTGTATATATGTTTTTGATATCTTGCTTTGTGGGTCCGCTGCTGACATGCAAGACTTCTCAGGGAAATAAGACACAACCGTCCAGCGAGCTCTCGTTTATGGAATAGAACACAAGTGCCTAATGTATGATATGATATGATCTGCAATCCATTCCCACTTGATCCCTGCAAGCAACGCACAACGCACATCTTTCATCTTGATGTAATGGTGTTTTTCTCGAATTCGAAATGTATTTCTCCAAATTGGAACCACATGCCATGATTAAACCATAGGATCTTGGGACTACAAATTCTGTTGCCCCGCCTCGACGATAACTGGCAAGGACAAATTGCCTGGTGCCAAAGCCTCACGGTGGGATTTGTGCTGCATGATCTTTCCTGAATGAAATGATATGACGTGTTGGTACTACTCTAAGTAGTTACTTTGTGGATGGATCTGTCCGGTCAATTCAAATCCAAAAAGAAGTTGTGTCTGCTGTCGATGCATATTGTACAGTACATGTTTTTCTATCATCATATTACACATATTTACACATGGTGAACCATAGTGAACCCTGGCTTACACTCCGTTTTTTCCCCCGGGATATAACACCAATTGGGATACAGTATGTTCACTGACCAGAATCATCCAACGACCGCCACTTCACCAACGATGCTATTCGATCGCAGGGCACCCTCCGGCCTCCACCCGACGTCGCGGCCGTTTCCGTGACCTCTCAGGTCGGCGATGTCGTGCACGACGTGCCTCCTAAGAATCATGATGACCAGGTGGCTTGTGGTGGCTTGTGGTGGCTTACGGTGGAGATGGTGATCTGTGAGATGATTTGAGTTTCAGATGATTAGGGCTGACTCTTTCTGGATGGGATTGCGCACTCACGGTTCATGGGAGAGGATTCACCTCATTTGATGTTTCTGAGGATTGTTCATGTGGTGCCTGCGTTTGTCACTACACATTTTGTTGCACCCCTAAGTTCCAACCCTAACCATCGAGCGATCATGGAAGTTCCTGAGTCGTTTACTTTGTTCAGTTGTTTTGCATCTCATCCAAGCAAAGTATTGATTACCTCTACATGTGTATATACAATGTACAGATACATTTGTACAACCATATTATAACATATTATATCATAATATCATGGTATTATTATCATAGTATTATGCCTGAAAATATCCACATTCACCATTTCTGTGAGTTTACATAGTTTACTACCTCGTCTAGTGTCCCCAATCCTTGGCTTCCCTGGATTCATCGCTGTCACTGCCGGAGGTTGGCACAAGCATCCCCTGCCTCGCTACATCGACAGCCGTGACAACTTGTGAATTTGTAATGTGCTTCTGGCTGGTGCTCCTGACTCCTCAGACTCCTCTCAAGGAATCCAGTTTTATGTATAAATATGTATAAATAGATGTGGTTAAATGTGTATAATTATACATACACTTGGTCTAAGAGGATGGGTCTTCGAATGTACTTGTATGTCAAAATGTCTCCAATGAACTGGTAAAACTCTTCTGCGTGGGAATGTGGCTTTGCATGGGAGTCTTGGAGAGTCGTCTCTGCAAAGGGTTGGAAGCCGATTGGGACCTTGGGGGCCCGCCCAACAGCGTACCCAACATGTCTGCTGAATGATTCTGGGAACCCAACTTCTCGTCAAACACGAGTTTTTTCGGGGCCGTTTGCTCCTGGCTCTGGTAGCTTCTGGCAAGCTTTGTTGAGGAATTGGGAATCAAAAGTGTCCATCAAAGTTTTTCTTCTGATATTCATATACGCTGTCCGTATATGATTGCGATAATATGTTGTGGCTACGCAGTATAAGAATATGTGTGATTATGATTGGTTATGTACGTATACAGGGGAGTTCGTTCTGCCACTCTTTTTTTTTAATAGCTGATTGTTGGTTCAACGTCGCTTTACTTGTAAACACCCATGTTCCGGCAACGGACAAATCTACAAATGAAAATGCCTTTGTGCGGGGGGGACAGCGGTCCTCTTCAGAGTATGACTCTTCGCTTTCAGCTTCTTGTGGCTCCTGCCATCCATTTCAAGGTTTCACAGCCAAAGTACGACTGTTCCTGGGCCCCTTGCGTATCTATGCAGTGCACCCATCATGCACCATCTTGCCATGCTCTGCAAACGATAGCAACTCCCAAACTTGAGTTATAGTACAGTAACCCATCAAAGAATGGAAGAGCAGTGACAGTAACCCCTAAAGACTAAAAGAATGAAACAATATTTCCAGGATTGTAGTTCGATGATGTTTTCCCCATCATTTTCTGGCTCTTCTTGGGAGTTCACTACAGGCTCATGGGGGGTTTTCTGGTCACGATGTCCTCCTCATAAGTGAAACCCAAGGCAGATTGCGCCAGCAACAGTTCTGGCCTCGGGTAAATCCCATGGTCTAAATATCTGAAAACTTATAAAGATCATGCCATTGTGTCTATCGTAAGTGGAAATCCCAGCGTTGAATTAGCTTACATCGCGAAGCTTTAATAACAGGATGCTTCCCTGACAGAGATTTCCAATGATCCAGGTAGAAGCATTAGTACCATTTTGTTTTCACCGTTATCATACATCCTTTCACACATAACCAGCTTAGATCAATTTGTGTTGGGTAATCCTGAGGCCCATGCAACGAGAAACTGGACGTCACCGCTTCACCACATTGCACCTGACTGCACTTGATTCTCGCATCTACCCTTCAGCGACCCCAATCTAAAAACGATACATATCTGTTGTCTATCTGTCTTTGTGAATGTGTACCGATAGACATAATTACATCCATCCATCTAATCTAATCGAACTATCTGTCTATTTCAATCTACCTCTCTATATCCTTTTCCCTAGCTATCTGGCCATCTATCTTTCTAATCTACAGGGTTATCATCAATAATTCCCCGCAAATCTTGTGCCTCCATGCCATCGCCGGCCGCTGCAGACCTGGGACTGATCTGATGTGAAGATCAGCAGATGATGTTCCCGCCCTCCGAGGACCAAGCAAGATCGCTTCGTGTTCACCATCCTTGCCCGACCTCAGCGAATGACCATGGCCATGGCTGAGATGAAGCGCTCCTCAATCATAGCGCCAACAAAGTTCGCTGAAAAATGAGCATGCAAATGTTTCCAATGCATAAACACACTTAAATAATATACAAAGACTAAACATATAACATATGTGTATATGTATATATATATGATCATTGAATTAGATAAATATATGATTCACAACATGTTCTTGCGTCAGGGACCACCATTGAAGTGCCGTTCCACCAGCCCGGTCCCATCGGGTAGGCGGCCAGGTGAAGGCGTCCGACTGCCCAAAGGTGATGTTCAGCGGAGCCAGCAGCGAGGACCTCATGGGCAGGGGCAGGGGCTGTCTTGGATGGTTTTTCAGATGGTAAACCATAGATAAACCATAGTTCTATATGATAAACCATAGTTCTATAATTGTTCTATATATAGTTAAAAATATTTTTTCAGTCTATGATAATAAGCATGAATACTGGGCGGGAATGAATGTTTACCAACATTTGACAGACAAACTGCCCGGTTATGTCGGTAGATATGCCATACCATACATGTAGCATCATGCAGCAGACAGCCTGTCTTATGTGTAGCATATTTGCATATTATATATTTATTTATTTATTTGTCTATTGATTTATTTATTTATTTACATGTCTTCAATGTTTTTTCAGCAATGCAAAGGAGAAACAAACATTGTGAAACCATGAAAACGTCAATGTCTCTGAAAGGAACCCAGCCAAGTCATCAAAGACCGGCCATGGACCAAAAAATCACCGGTTTCAATAGAAATCATATAAAAAACATTTAAAAAATAATGATTTTGAATGATTTTGATCTATGTCATCATATGTCATCTATGTCTTGGACATCGCCTTCAGCCACTAAGATTGTCGTATGCCTCTATAGGTTTGTATATATTTTTGGGATGACCGTGCGCTGTTTTGATGGATAACTTTGGGATGATTCCGGAGAAATTTGGATGACTTTGGGACCCAAACGGCACAGGTCAGTCAGGCTCATTGCATTTTGTGCTACATGTACAGGAACAACCCCACAAGGGCTTAAGGGCAGCTACTAAGCTTCCCCGCGCTTGTTCTGGCACACTTGTTTGCATCACCCGAAGGCTGATGGATGCCTTGCACGGCGGAACTTTGGGTTCCCACCAGGAAGAACAAGTGCTTCCTGGTGCCCTACGTTTTCCCTGTATCCAATTGCGGGACCATTTCAATGTTTACCTGGTAAAATCTAACTTTCAATTCTGATAAAAATTGGTGATTAGGCTATGGACGAAAACTGCCGGCTTGGAAACTGCATCTTCAAGTTGGGTTCCTATCTTCACAGAGGTTTAAGGATGCCCCCGAAAGTCATCGCTCTAACAATTTAGGCCTGTATCATAGAAACATCTAAGCATATGAAAACATATGAAAACATACTTCCAGACTGGTATAAATGTTGTTTCCTGCACAATTTATCTTTCCTGGTGTTCAACTTGAAGATCTTTTTGGGGGTTACTACAAGGCCTTACTAACACCAAAGAAAAAACAGCTGTTGCGGGGATTACCAGTGAGATCTCGCATCCCTGTCGCCAAGGCACTGAAGAAAGGCCCTCCGAAACTGGCCATCGCCTCAACGGTGCATGTGGCCAGTAAAGCATAGCGGTAGCGATAGACAGTCAATGAGATGAATAACCCATAGGATCCATGCTATGTATGGTAACATGGATCCCATCAATATACCCCAAATGTTAGCATATATATAATATATACCATACATGGATCCGATGAATAATGTTCACTTCTATTAGAATGGGGAGTTCTCATGTCTATCGAAATGCTTATTCTAATGCTACTTTTGAAGTAGTTCGAATTTGCCTATTGAAAATGGGGAGTTACTATTTCCATGCGTGACATGGCCAGCCTTGACATGGGTGGAAAAAAAGGCACCGTTGGCTTCGTGGCGGGTGCACAATAAAACACGAGGGAAGTGCACCACGCGCACCTTCTGAGAATTGATATACATAGATGATCATAGATGATATAGAATGTGAATTAATATATATATATATTATAGATGGTACAAACTGAAATAAAGAAACACACACATATATATATATATATATGTATTAGAAACTCTGTATCTCTCTATATAATTTATAATATATGATATATGTATACTTATGTTGTGTATTATAATCATATACAGTCAATATGTATAACAATTATCGTTTTTTGCAACACATCACCCGGAGTGCGGTGTTGAGCTTCCGCACGCAATGGTAATCAAGGCAGCCGCCAACACCGCTGTCTTAGCACCTGGCACTCTCAGCCGAGCCACCCTGCAATGTTAACCGAGGAGGATTCTCATAAAGCCCTAGGTTGTTTAATTGGGGGGTACCATTTTAACTATCAAAGTATCACTATTGGATGGGGGGCCCCCAACTTAGACGCTATAGCAAAGCCATAAAAAGATAGAACCGTGGTTTCAGGTTTCCTACTTTTCTATCTATTTGGTGGTTGGGAAATAAAACACTGTTTTGGGGGGAAACCGCCCAAGAGTAAAGGTGTACTAGTGCAGGTTGACCTTGGCCGTCCAGTTTCCTTTTCGCTCTAAACTGTTCAGGTCAGCGAAATCCGTGGACATCTTGGACTATGTTGGATTCATTGGGGCTCGCCAATGATTCCGTCCATGCAAGTCAGCAATAACTTCGTTTGGGCATTCTCGCGGTCTTAGTTGCGCACGAGAGGCCCATTTGAAGAAGGCAAGTGTGCTGAGTCGAGTCATTCCCGAGACTCCGATGGACTTCAACACCCTCCACAGCTTTCATCTCAGCTTTCTGGTAGCACTGCTGGTTGATTATGAGATCAGCATGTTCAGTTTACGCCCTTCCATGATATTTTTGGGAGATTTGGCTGGGTTCAAGCTTCCAACTATGAATCCCGGTAGGGATGGGAAACATCAAGACTGCATGTTTTGAAACTTTGTGGATGGACGTGCTTGCAGCACAAGCCCCCCCCCAAAAAAAGTATCTAGAATCTAGAAGATAGTAATTACAAGACATGCAAAACCCTACTAAACATCCTGATAAATTACTTTACTGGGGTTACTGGATTCCTGCATCTCTAACATATAATGGTCACCCACATTAAGTAAATGGTTCACTGGGTACCAACATGTTATTTAAACATATATATATATTATGTAATTTATAATGGTTACCCCTTCCCGCAGTGCAGCAGCGCTGACACTCAGGTCCTTGACCTGCTAAGCACCGGAGGGTCGATGGTCGACACCGGTGGTCGCCGGGACGGCTGACTTCCTTGGATGAACTGAGGCCTCATGTCCCTGAGAGATTCTGATAAATCTGATGTCTTCTGGATCCTCTGGTAATTTAAATTGCTATGAAAAATGTTCATTTTAAATCAATTTAATCTCATCTCATTTAAGAAGTTTATTGATGATTTAGCCACTACTGAGCTGTAATTGATCCCCCCCTCTCTACCCCTATCTCTCTCCCCCTCCCTCTCCCCCTTGCCCTCTCCCTCTCCCTCTCCCTCTCTCTCTCTCTCTCTCTCTCCCTCTCTCTCTCTCTCTTTCTCTCTCTGTCTCTTTCTCTTTCTCTTTCTCTCTCTCTCTCTCTATCTCTCTCCATCACCATAAGGTCGATGGACATTTTTTCTTCTGAGGGTTATCCGATTTTTTCTTGATGGCTGAAACTTGTGGCTGTATCCACTGAGTGCATCCGATAGTTGAGTATCTGGTTGGCAGCCTGAACACCCCTGAAAAACGTTAGTCAGTTGGGATTACCATCCCAAATACGGTTGAAAATGAAACGGATTGAAACTGTCACCAGCCAGGTGAAAAACCTGGCTGTTGGCCACAAGTGGTGAGGCCATTCTATGTGGTAAACCTCAAGGAATTCAAATGACGCACCTCTTTTCGAAGGTTACCCAGCTACACCCAAAAAAAGAGCAAGCAGCTGTGGCATATTACAGCATAGTCTCAATGTTCTTTAAACTAATTTCGCTTGTTATGGGGCTGGCCACATGATATGATGTTGCATACTATGCCTTACTGGGCCTTAATGCAAAAAAACAGCATTCCCTGTTGCATCCAAGTACTTGGTCAGCAATGTGGTTCACAGCCGCGGAACAGGAAGCGCCGATCTGCAAATGGTCAGGCGGTTCCCAGGAATCCAATCACTTCAGAGGACCAGCCGAAATGGTCATGTCATCAATGGTCATCCAGGCCATGCAATGTCATCCTCTGTGCAACCAATGGTCAGGCTCGGACCCAACATGTACCAGTTTCCAAACGCTATATCGCTGTGGCAGCAGAATGACGGTTGACATCGTTTGTACTACTTTGATCTACTTTGGGGGTCCAACGTCTTAAGATGTCTTACGTGGGTAGTTGCCATAAGTTGTCAGTTCCCTGACTGCTGGTCTTCCAAAGAGATCGCTTCGTGAATGCTCACCCCCATCACAACAACATCAGACACCCAAGCCGGGAAAACGTGTCTCACGGTGACGCAGATTCGGCTATGAATGATCATTTCAAAAGGCAAGTTATTTTATTGAAGCACTGGACATCTTATATCATCTTATGATTTCTTATGGTTGAAAATGTTTGAAAAAACATCCATAGACATCCAAAACAACCATCACCGATATACCCGTTTCCAGCTTCGAGTGCTGTTGTGACTGGGAGATGCGGGCACCCGTCACTGCGAACCGGGTTTCAAAAATTGAGATATGCAATGGGAGCATGGCACCTCAATGTCAATGTGGCAGCATCTGAGATTCTGTGGCCACAAATCTGGAATCAACGCAAAATAGTGCACACCTAATTAGCTGATTCAAAATGTCATAACACACACACAAACATATATTATACATATTATATATATATGTATATGTGTGTTAAATTATGTTAACTTGATATATGTTGTGCTGAGTTTTGTTACTGATAGCAACACATATCACTAACATCACATTAGTGAAACGTCTGCGCCATGCAATCCGTTAAGCCGCTGCGTGGCTTGTGGCTTGACCGTGATGATCAAGGTGAATCGGTCGGGCTGTGTGGCTTCACATGAAGGTCTTGACTCAAATTGGGGGCCCCAGAAGAAAAAACAAACGAAGCTATTGGATGATATTGGATGGACAATGTTGATGACATATTCAGACATATTCTGCTGGAATTGAGTTTCAGGGCTTCCCAATTTTGAGAAGCAGACCGGCATGCAAACACTTTTTCTATGGCTTTCTGTCGGCCAAAATGGGCAACAAATCACACCACTTTGGGGTTCCATCCGAATTAAACTTTCTCGACCCAAAGAACCGAAGGTTGGATGGATTTCCGCGCAGCTTCTTTCTCCTGATGAGAAGTCGAGAAATCAGCCCCTGGGCTGCCTGGGCTCATCGGGAATGAAATGCAAGTGATATTAAGGACGGTCAGTTTTGGAAATTCTTGACCCTATACAGTAAGTTGTTCATCCAAAGTTCTTTCTGCTGGATTCTGTCTCTCTTGCTTGCGCAAACTCTACGGAGAACTTGGGGAAATTGTACCAATCACACTCCCCTTGTAGTTGTCTCAACATTGTTACCCCAAAAAACGTGCAATTTCAATAAATTTCAATAAGCACAATGGATCACAATGGTTTACATATATACATGCACAATGGTTTGTAGGATCATTTTCACCATTCAACCCGCCACAAATTGGGTTTTACCCTGTGATCGCCGAGTCCTGGTGTTGAAAGCTGCTATCTAAAGCAAACCTTCCACCATATCCTTGGCCCAAGATGACTGAAGCTCAACATCTTCAAAAACATGCCAACTCAAGTGAGTCAAGTGGCACTTCTATGCTGAAGAATGATGCGGTTTTCAACATGGTTTAGTTTATATAAATCATATTAGGTAACTAGATGAACATATGATAATATCAACAAAATTCAGAGCATACCTAGCAAAGATGATGCATTTGTACATCTTGGCAGCCGTGGGGCAGACAGCTCAGCATATCGGGTGCCACTGATACGTCCTTTTTGCTCGCCATCCTCTGACCAAAGTGAAACCAAGTAGCCAATTCACTTGACCAACCAACATTTCTTGAGGGAAAAGGTGAATCTGAATTGGTTGATGGTTTATGATTATGATTGAGGTTTTGATTGAAGACATGAAACTAGGGTTGACCGTAAGTGGTTCGTTGCTAGGTTTGCTTTAACAAACAAAATATGGTTGATGGTCACCAAATCACAAAGGGCAGGATGGAACGGGCAGAGATTAAGCTTGGGCCATGGCACTGTTGATGTTAATCTTCTCGAGTGTAAAAACCCGTGCAAACCGTCATTTGGGGCCAGATTTACCCTGGGAAACGGCGTCGTCAACATCAGGGGAAAAAAAACACAAACACCTCATAACACCTCCAGAACATTCCGCTGCCAATCTTTCGAGTCAGCTTCAACAATCGGTACCCTCTGGTAAACTAACATAACTATGGAAAATCACCATTTTTAATGGGAAAATCCACTATAAATGGCCATTTTCAATAGCTGATCATAAACATCCCACAATACTTGCACACTGGGCACCTGTTCAAGGAGGTGCGGCGGCGTACATCCATTGTATATTGAGCTCCATCTAACTACCATCCAAATAAATTGACATAGGTATGGAACCCCCACGGTTTCCCCCGGAAAAAAAAATGAAATGATCTATGATGGGGTGGATCTTCTGGAGGGTAAATCCCGTTTATTCTGGTTCCAACTGATGGTATACCCGTACCCAGCTCTTTCCTTGTGAAATCCGTGAACATATTTGAATTTTACGCTTTTCTCAATGTGAAACTCCAACTTCTTTGGATGGTGAAATCCCATCCTTTCCATCACAGCCTTGAAAAGGATGAAGGTGGGCAGCTCGCGAACCTCCATGTCGGAGTAGAGAGGCTTCACCAACTTGGCATTGCGACCTGACATGGCAACAGCGACCTGGGGAATGGAACTTTTTTGACCACCCCAACGGTGTCAGTGGGACAGGGGAGAAGTGATGAGAAGTGCATATAATTAATACCATATATATATATATATCATATAATATATACTGTCAGTCCATTTGATATTCAATATTCACTTTATTCATTGAGGAAAATATGTGGTGGAAAATATGTTTGCACGTCTTGATCATGCTTTTTTCTATTGGTTGGGTGCCCTATGAAAATAAGACAACACCCTCCAGAAACCGTGGAACGAGGTGGATCTATGATGTGGGGCGCAATGTCCAAGGTAGGGCATGCAAAAAGAAAGCGGACATCTCGCGTTTTGGAGAGGAAAGGATTGGGGAGTAGCATGGAGTAGCGGGTATGTGGCCATAGAGGGAATCATAATTTGAAAATGATAAAGCCCAGCCCCAATCACTTGCAACACCTATGACATTTTTTCGACCCAAAACGCCACGAGGCAAAAACCTTTTCTCTGACATCAGTCCCCGAATTTGATAGAGGAAACTACCTTTGATGGTGAATATCATGAGCCAAAGACATAATCAGGTATGGGCCAGGGAATAAACAAAGGATGCTTCATAATGATGCAAACGTGGATGTGCCTCAAAAGCATTCAAAACGCAAAGAGCTTTGTGCCATTCCACACAGCGTGCCTGGCTCCAAGCTGATCTTCACCACTTTCAGGCCGTCGTTGGCATATTTGGTCTGAGAGATGATCCAAGTGGAGGTGATATGGTGAAGCCCATGAGCCAACAAGAGATATTGTTGGCTTAGTGACAAGGAATCAAAGTTGCTGCCCTCCTAAAAAAAAGAGAAGAAAACACATCAAATATCATCAAATATTGTTTCTCGCGCCAAAGCCGCTTTCTGATGCTTTCTGAACATCCTGAATTAGAAGCACCAACTTAATTGGACATCTTCCAGATTCTGCAGGACTCAAGGGTGTTTAAATGACTCAATGTTGCGATCCCGCTGATATGTGAGGACTATTAAAACACCCGACAGAACACACAACTTAGATCACAGTGAACTCTTCCAAGTTCTTCAAAAGGTCCACATGACATCTCCAGAAACTGTGCCAAGCGCATCCAACCCCCCTGGCGAGGTACCGCCATCTCCTCCATCTTGGGTTCCATCAAAAAACATGGCCCACACATGGACGACGAGAACATCGCCTTGGAAAGCTGGGGATGATCCATGAGATCTATGAATATGTCAACATATGGGGGTATTCTCGAAAATTGACTAATTTTGGATGATTGGGGGTACCCCTATTTTAGGAAACCACCTTATGTCATCTTAAGACCGGCAGGACCAACTTGAAATAGGAGGCCTTTGGCATTATATAACCTGGTTTAACAATGTTTTACATATCTTTAAAACACTGACCTCCTTTTTTGGGGGCACCCCACCTTTGACAGGACGGTTGCTGAGTTGCTCTGATGAGGGGGGCTGTGAGTTGTACTGGTATGCTTCAAATTGAATAATTGCCAGCAAATTTCCACCATGTGATGCTTGCTGGAATGCTGAAGTGATTCCTGACACCTGCCTCCACCTAAAAGGACAAACACTCCCTGCTGTAGAAAAACACGGGCCATGGAAGGGTGGCCAAGAAATCCTTTTTGGGAGCGACTTCGTTTCAGCTCAATTCACATGTTCAAAGCCTCGCCTAACCGTAAAGATAGACCACATGCTTCCACAAGATGTTCCCAATGTATCCTATGCACTGTTTGGATCTTGTCGGGTGTTTCTGTTATGAAAGACGCAAAAAATATTTGTATATATCCTGGTATGCATCAATATATCAAAGGCATCATACCATTTAACAAAAACTATACATGAAAGAACAAAAGATCACAGGCAGAGAAAGAACACTCAGGACCCCATCGCCTGGCATTGTTGTTGCCAATGTGAAATGGATTCCAAGTGACAACTGTCAGGGATCCATTGAGGTTTTTCTCAAAGTCCTCACGGTTGTCGAAGGACATGATTGCACCTTTGCCATGCAGGTGCAACAACCCCAGCAGCCACTGAAGCTATATGAGGAACAATGAATATAGGTCGAGTTGAGTGACATGATGACCCCAAAAATACAGTGTTGTTCACTTGCTTGAAATTTCAATTTCTATCCGTGGCCTGTAGATTTATAATGATTTCAATTTCTATTTGAAATTTCAAATCCTCAGGATTTATGGCCCAGCTGTCACCAGGTGCACCTCCTTTGGCCTTGCGCGCCACGCCCGAATTTCGGCCTGTCGAAAGGATCTCATCCCTTTAATATTAAGCACCCCTAAATGGGTCCCAATATGTGGCAATCTTCTGCTACCCATGGTTTAGTAGGTGTAGTTTAATATTAGAGTCATTAGAGTGATAGGATTATACAAAATTGGCTGGTCGTACTCGCCAAAATCATCTAAAGTTGGTGAAATACAGCGGTGGGGAAATCGATGAAGATTGATGAAAAATCTCTCTCCATCGCCCTCTCCAAGAGTTCAGTCACAGACTGAAGGCGAGCCAACGGCCCAGCCCTCCAGTGTAAGTCTCTAATTTTGAGTCATGCAGGGCCCATTAAAATCAATATGTCGGTCCTATCTATATCCCTTGTGAGGTTCCGTTACTGTAAGTGGATGGGAAGTATGGACACCCCAGAAATCAGCCCAACCTTGGACCGGCAGGAAGAATGCATTGTTTCGATCCGGAGTCACCTGCGAAAACACTGTGATGGAAACCTCCGGAGCCTCGGTCCATATTTGAAGAAAGTCCTTGCACTCTACCGTACAAGGAAGAAAGATATATGAATGATATTGAATGATCATTTAAAAACATCATAAAGACACAATTTATATCGATTTTTACAGGTTGACCTGAGCAAATGATCAAGACCCCAATTGCCCCAATGATCCCCAAATGTTTCTGTTGGCAACGTGTCGCCGAGGATCCAGGAGAAGAAGTGTCGCCAAAAGGAATGCGACCAAGCATGGGCGACGGAGGATCCTGGTACCAGGTCCACACAGCTGTCCGTTTCAACATGTTCCAAGCACACTCATCTGCTCCGAGCACCCACCTTGCCCCCCAGTGTTTCCTGGTTGCCATGTTCAAAGGCAAGCGGGTTTGCGACGCGGGTTGCTGAGCAAAGAGTTAAAAGCCCTGAGCCCAAAACAGCGGGAAAAGGCATATGCTAATGCCTGTGCTGTCCAAAAACCTGCAGAATGCTGACCCACCTAAATGGGAGAGAATCCAGCATGATCCACTAGATTGATGATCAGCGTTGCCCGAACATGGGAGGACCTCGGCATACGGCTGATTTCGCTAACCCCTTTGCTGTGAACAACACATACTGTCCCAAGCATCCCAAACAATCAAAAGAAAGAACTACATCCCAGGCACAGGATAAACGCAAGAAATCAACATCAACTCCACAGTGCGCCCCAGATGACCATGGCCGAATCATCCCCAGCGGATTTGGCACCTTCGTTGAAGACCCAGTGGAGCTGGGAGCAGGCGTCTCCGATGGCCGTCTCAGCCATTGCATGGTATCCAAAGTCTGGTAGGAACGCATAGGCCACGATCCTTGGCCAATGGGGGAAGTTGATCCGTTGAGCAATCTGGAAAAGGACAACCCAAGGGCAAACTCCAAGGCCCAAGGTGCACCATAAACAAGGCGACAGTGAGAGGGGCCCTGCTGGGGGTTCTTCAGGCCGAGCATCTTGCCATTCTCATTGGGTTGTGCCGGGATGAAGACTTTTCCACCCATGTGAGGTAGTGGGTAGAAGAGGGTGCCCGGATCGGGGCCGGCACTGATGAAACAACACCTCACAGGGCGTGGCAAGTGTTGGTACCAACAAGGGGGTGTGCTTGATATTTCTTTGTCACCATTTAGGTTTTGCAGCAGAGGCTTCGTTGAGGAATTTTGAGGCTTGCAAGGGCGGAGGTTCATTTTGACACACCGAATGATGTGGCAGAACCATGCAACCATGTGCCTCCCATGGGCTCTAGCTATGATGGGATCTTTGCCATATGAAGCGAAACCAAGAACAAAAGTCTTTCAAATACAGTAATTAGGGCCAAATAGGGAACATCATCCTCGAGTGGCCTTTTCTTGAAGTTTACATTGTCCCATGTTGATCTTCAGGACGCAATACTTTTCCTCCCAAGAAACATCCAAAAGATGCTACTCTCCCCGCCCTCCCCTGCCTCACATGTGGTGAATGCACTGCCAGGCTGTGCACAAAGATCCCAGCCACTTCCCCCTGTTCCGCCCCATGCAGTCGCAGCTCCTCCGCCGCTTCGGCCGGTGGCAGGAAGAGCCCGAAGACCGGCCGCGGCACATCCAGGCGCAACGTGCTGGGCAGCAGTCGCAGGACGATGGCATGGTCACCCAATGGCATGGTGAGCACACGCTCATCCCCCAGATGAAGTTTGAGACTTAGAACATCCAGAAAACCTTGGAGTTGCTCTAAGCGCTCCCAAGGCTCCCCCAAAAAAATGTGAAAATAATCCCCAGAGACCCCCCAGAGGGGGATTTACTAGCGGGGAAAAACAAAAAAAAACTTGAGCAACTCCAAGAAACTCTGAGATTCTGCAGAGTCCGGGGAGGAAAAGTTGGCTGAGAGGCGCCAAAGGGAGCGTCCGAGCAACTTGGAGGGATCCATCAAACAAACCTCCGCGCAGTCGCCAATGTGACTGATACCTTAGGGCTGGACAGAAAGGAACAAAAGGGGCCCGCTGAACCATGATGAAACATGATGAACCATGAAACATGAAGCAAGAGATAGCAAGAGGATCCAACTGCCATGGCTTGTGACCCTACATGCACAGCAACTCTTGTGATACCTTGAAGTTGGTGGCACTGCAATGTGAACTAAATACACATGGGCAAACATGTTGGACAAAACAATGCTAAGAAGGTTGTTCCTCACACAAAATGCATTGGGCTCCCCACAGCATCTTCAAAACAGGTGGTTGTTGGGGGATGTAGCTAATACCACCAGCAGCGTCTGGCAATCAAATTGTTGCAACAACTAATCTACCTTTTACATCCCCATTCACATCTGATTTTTCCATATTTTTTCCATTTCCAATATCACACATAGCACAATTGACATGTACTTGATCGATTAAGTACTCCGAAGCAATTTCGCCCCAATTTCGCCGGCGTCTTTGGAGGGTGCTTAAAAGTACAACTGAGTTTTCGCCAGAATTTCGTCACGGCTCAGCTATTGGTTCAGCAAGGTTCGGCAAGTGGCAGAAACTGGCCTCGGCATGTTCCTGCGCATAGCTGGAAAAGCAGCTGGACGGCACATAGATCACCAAGGGCAGCTCGAGCCCCGGAGGCGCCGCTGCCAAGGTGAAACGGAGACCTAGCCACGGCAAATCATATGATGGACCTTATTATACCTTATTCAAGGATCCTTTAAGGTGTTTGATGGGCATATATATATATATATACATATTATATTATATTATATTATATTATATTATATTATAGTTTATTATATTATATTATATTATATATATATGTTAACTATATAAATATATACAAATATATTTTATGTGTGTGTGAATTAGATATATCTGTATCTATAGTATCTTATGTTCTGTGTGGGTATGTATGTTGCTTTTTCCTTCCGGATAAATCTGCTGTTTAGGTTAAATCCTGCACTATACACTTTGGTCCGATGCTGCAACAATTTGGTGAGCTCGACCTAAAATCTATCTTCTGTGAAGAAGGGTACAGTTGATCATCTAGATGAAGGATTTCAAATATTTCACAGCGACAGGAGTACACATTAAACAATGTATATAATATATGCTACACTGCCACCTTCATTCACTCTCCAAACCCTGAAATCATCTTCTTCTGCCATAGCTAGTTTGATCTGGCTTGCGACCCATCCCAGACACATCACTCGATTGACACCATGTGCCGGTAGTGCTACTAGTATGTTACTTCCATGTCGGCAGAGAAGATATCAGCCCTTATCATCGAAAACATGCTGACCTATTTCAAAGCCTCCCCACAATTCTCTTAAAGGAATCTGCCCTACTGATAAGGATCTGATCAAACAACAACAGCAACAACAACGACAACAACAACAACAACAACAACAACAACAAGAACGACAACGACAACGACAACGCCAACAACAACAACAACAACAACAACAACAACAACAACAACAACAACAACAACAACAACAACAACAACAACAACAATGACAATGTAACAAACTCAATGATTAATATACTGTCACATACTGTCACGATTTCATCTTCGCCTAGTAGCTTCTGTCATCTCAAAGGTTCTGAAAGAAGTAAGACCAATGCTTCAACACATCAGGTTGACATGTGCAGATCAAACTTGGATCATCAAATTGCCCACAACATCCCACAACATTTGTCATGTTTGATGTATCGATAGATGACATTTTTTGGGTTGCTCTCGGGTAAATCAAACATAGCTGCCTGGGAAATTGTAGTGGGGAATGAGAAAGGGTTCTAAGTCTTAAGATGTTTTGAGTCTTAAACACGGAAGTGTCCATTTCGATGTTTGATTGCCAGTAGTCAGGTTCAAACATGCGTCCTGCAAACATGCGTCCTGCAAACATGCGTCCTTCAGGGCCCCACTAAAACCGAGCCAATACACTGATGCCGCACGGCATGCCCGCGCGCGGCCGCAGAAAGTCGGCTGGGAAGAAGCGCAAATGCATCCGCGGCGGCTGCTTCACTCCGACGATTTCCAAGGGGACCTGGGTGGCGCAGCATTTTTTTGCCCCATAAACCATTCAGTTTCTTGCCATGGTGATGAGTGCCAAGGATATCCCTTGGATAAAAAAAGGTGGTTCCACCAAATCATTTCCACTCAAGGAACCCTTGGAATGCCAATGTTTCCCAAGAAGAAGAAAAGGAAAAAGAACAAACACATGGACAAAGACAAAGGAGGAATGGAAAAGATACGGGGAAAAAGAAAAATCAAACAGAAAGAACAAAGGAAAAGCAAAAAGGAAAGGAAGCAGAAAGGAGAAGGAAACCCAAAGAAAGGAAGAATGAAGGAAAGGCAGAAAGGAAAGGAAGCAGGAAAGAGAAGGAAACCCTAAGAAAAGGAAGAATGAAGGAGACTAAAAAATAAAACATATCAATTAAAGTAGTAGATTGAAATGAACTAAAGCCTCTTCTTGGATTCTGGAGTTTCCGTTTTGGAAAAGGACTTGAAAGTAGATTAGATTCTAAATGAATTAAGAACCTTATAGTTGTATACTTAACCTCGGGTTGTTTAAGTTCAAAGTAAATCTAATGTTATTAGATTCGATTCATTTGAAGTCTTTATTTTTCATTCATGACTGAAGGGTTCCAGGAGCGGCCCCTCTCCCAAATGCAAACTATTCCTGATACTATGGGGGAGGGTCCCTCACACTAATCACGATCCAAGGCGCCGGCTCAGGATGCGCTTCGACAAACATGTTGCACTGACTGCCGCCCGGCCCGCGCATGCGCGAGAGGCGCTTCACGCACTTACCTGTGAGGTTCTCCCGGGAGGCATGGGCACTGAAAACCACATCCCGCTCCACGATGAACAGTTCTTTCACGTCCTGGGAAAACGGTTGATGGAAGAATCTAGGAATGAGGATCAGGGAAGCAAAAATAGATTTGACAATTGACAATTGAAAGGGGATGTCCAACTGACTGATTCAGTTACAGAAATTTTCAACAGCAGAAGGTTCTGAAGAATGTCCTCACAGGTCCGAATTGAAACTGGATTGACCTCCCAACATTATATAGCAGGATCCCCATTTCACGGCTCATGTTGATTTCCTCTAGGTATCTCTAGGTTCCATGCATATCAGGGGTGGTACTATCTCATTTATACCCCCGTTCTCCTGAACTCAAACAACCCGCCACCCTCCAGTCAACAAACATTCTTGGCGGGCAAAGGATCGTTCATTTAATCAAAACATATCATCAAAACAGACTACTTAACTTCTAGAATCCCGTGGCTGTCCCCCATTGTCAAACATAAGCATCTGCCTGGTTGAATTACAGTAATTTTGCCAAGCGAATTCTGGGATAACTCCCTCTACTATGCCATCATTGACAGTGAGGTCGCGGCAAGGTTGTTTAAATCATGAAAAGCACTTAAGAAAAAAACTATGAGTTGCTTGAATAGGTCAACACTTCTCATGGATATTCAACGGGTAGGCCAGCTAGAAATGGGTTTGTCTGAACATGGGATACCCAACAAAAATGATGGTTAATCATCATTTTCCTCGGTAAAACCCGGTCAAACACGTAAATGTCCGTAGTATCCTCACTTTTAAAACACACCAAATGATGGTTACAGTATTTTGCAGTCCCTCACTTTGGTGGTCAAATCTTAACTCTTTAAGGTGGTTAAATCTGCTGATGAATCCAAGATCTTGCTGCTTAAATCTGCATTCATCATCTGTTGCTGAGCTGCTGGTTACATGTTTAAATCACTTAAGTTTTTATGGAAAAACCAGCACCCAGTCTGTCTGAAAATGCTTGAAATATCCCCCAAACAAATGGTACTTTTAATATCTTTAAATAGGGAAAATGAATGAAAATGATGATTCACCAATGGATGAATGGCGCTACCCACCATAAATCCACCCAAGGCGCTGTAGCTTCCCCCTCCGCCGTCCAGCTGATAAAGCCGCTGGAAGGCGACGCCTTGCCGGCCTTGCCGTCGGCCGCGCAAAAAGCAGCCGCCTCCATGGACCAACGGCCCTGGCTTGGCACAATAGTGATATAAATAAGGGATATAATAGGGGATATATACATGATATACTATAATATATAAGTAACTATATAGACTATGTATAATTGTGACTTTAGGACTATTATATCCTATGGGATTTCGAAGTTGATGACTTCTCAATGGTGAAATGTGAGGACACCGGCTTTGGAGGATGCTTATCAATCAATCCTTTGCAAATCATCACTGTTTAATAATTTAAGCTTCGTGTAAATTCCTTCCTGGGCGGAATATGTCTCAACGGTGGTGATGGTGGTGTTCAATGACTCTCAGCTGTGTTTGAAGTGAATTCCCCATCATGTCGGGTCAAAAATGACGATTTCATAGTATAGTTTCAACTAAGGACATGCCAGGACCATGAAATCTCAAAAAAAGCTCCAGCCCTTATATAGGTCTCATTCTGGGCTGCCCCCTAATCCTCTATATTTACAATACATATATATATATATATATAGGTTCATAAATAAATACATAATTCGCTATAATACAATGTGGTGTCCAATGGTCAGCTAAGATGCTTCGGCCAACTATAGGCTAACTACTGGCTTTCTGGTAGATTATAGTGCTACAAATTCATAGTGCTATTCTAATCCAACCAACTTCTCACTACAGGGCACTGCATTGTACCCACAGTTCCTCAAAAATTTGGCGCGACATCCCCTGACCTGCAACTCGCCAAAGTCAGCTGCGAAGCGCAGCACCCCACACCAGTCCTTGGGATGCGCCAGGTGCAGAGCAGGGCTGGGAGCTGCGCGCACGTTGTCAGCCAGGGGCTGTAAGGAAAGCTCCAAGGAGAGCTGGCCATACCTGGGGGAAATTCTGAAAGTTGCGACCCAATTTTTCCGCAAAATGACCTTCTGGCAATCAAACCTGGCAATTGAACATCCCATTTATGGAGGATTTGAAAAGGAACATCAATTATAATTGGATGATTCTTCATGGTCAAGTTTGATTACTGGAGGGTAATCAAGAGGGCCGGTGCTTGCCGGTGGTTAAAGTAGAGAAGTCCTTCAACTGTCATGGATTCGGGGGTGTCTTGGATGTCTCTTGGATGACCCTCAGCCACTGGGACAAGCCTCCACCTACCACCATCAAACATCAATTTGATTGTCTTTGCTTGTCACCTTTCTTGATACTTCAAACATGTGCAAGATTTCCCACCAGAACCCGCTTGAACCAACCACTCCCTTTCATTTTCAGGATTTTTCAGGCAGGGCTTCGCCGAGTCGCTTCCCCGGCGCCCGCTCCAAGGGTTTGGAGATCACCACGCTGCGATAGGTCACAGGCTGCAGTTCCGAGCTGCTTAGGATCACTGAACCGTAGCAGAAGGGAGCTTGGGGCCTAAGCAAAAATGGCCAGCGAAGCGATTTTTGGGGCCAAACAATGGTCAATGAATGCTAAATGTCTGGCAAAAGTGGAGGTTTCCTTTCCAAATGGAAGAGGAAACATGCCTATGCGCTTTGTGGACACAAAAAATTAGGCAAATCCCACCAGCAAAGTGGTTAGTTGAGATTTCAGTTAGCTGGTGGCGGAACTTGAAATCCTAAAATAGCTTTTTAACACAGAATTCAAACATTCTAGAGGTTGCTCCTGAAACCCCAGATAGAGGGGGAAAAATTGTTAGAAAAGCAGATTAAAATACAATTTCCATCAATTTTCCCCACCAAAAGAAGCTATCATTTCTTATGGTGGTTTGGAGCAACCCTGATTCCGTGATCTTTCCCCAATATATCAGCATCAAAGCCACTAATTATATAATATTATATATGATTCTATCCCAATAATATCCCTATCAAATCCAGGAAATCCCCATAAAATCCACCATTTGTTTGTGGCGAAATCCCCATCAAATCATCATGCCCTGGCTGCCACGGTCACCTTGGCTGCAGTGGATCCGACTCCAGCAGCTTCACCGTCAGCTCTCCGCCACTTCCGAGGGCCAAGGGAGGCACCAACACGCTGAAGGGGCGCCAGCGCGGCCGCGGGAAACTGGGCTGCGCCTGGTGGAGAGCTGGGGCAGCTTGGTGGGCTGAGTTTAGATGGTTTTTGCCACGAGAACATGATGATTGGAGCGGCGGAGCGGACAAGATTGGGGGTTTTACTGGATTTAACCAAAAAAACATGGTGATTGTGATTTATATGTGATTTTAAAGGATTGTTTGAAGGGAACATCTACAACCAATATTGTTCTTGATCCTCAAACTCATGGGCTTTACTGCATTTTTTCCAGTCAATTCTGGGATAAGTGAATCTATATCGCAGGTTGGTATGGGATCCAACACCCATCACGCAATACATTTATATGTAGCCCTTTCCTTTACATTTGACAATCCATGTGTTTAAAATTTAAAATAACAAATAGGTGTATAATATAAACTTATAAACCCTGAAAGTTTGTCGTGAACCACTTGCCCACTTCGATACAATACAGATGTCACAACTCCCTTGGTCGAAGGGAACTCTTGCAGGAAAATCCTGTGAGTCTTTTTTAAATGGTAAAAAAAAACATGTCACATGTCGTTATATAGTCGTCCTAGCAGTCCACGTCATACTTGAAGACTTGAGCAACTGCGCCAGATCGCACAATTTGGCGCTTCTTTTTCAGTTTTCATATATCAACACAATATCAACACATATCACTGGAAGCATCTCCAATTTCTGTATATGATATGTGTTGATATTGTGTTGATAGATGAAAACTGGTTCACATATATATATATGTGTGTATATATATATTATAAATATATATATATATAGTCAAGGTCATCCGGTAGGCAGAGTTTGTCCCAAGCAAAACAGATAGCAGATGGGGTACCAATTTGGTTATGAGTCAAAAAAAAAACCTTTCCTTCATAGTGCCAAATCTGCCTACTGGAAAGTGGGAAATCATGAACCCCCCTTTTTGAATTTCTGCTTACTGTAAATCTGGCTTGGAAGATGGCAAAAACGGAAAAAAATGCTCTGGTTTATCATTTTTCCCCCTGATTTGCTGGAAACCAATCAGCCGCGCCTTTTTCTCCACATCCTCCCCATTTATGTGAAATTCAGCAATTTTTGGTTCTCAAACCGAAAAAAAGAGAAGACATGCAGGGAAACAAGAGTCTTGAAACGCAATATAGAATTTTCTTAGCTATTTCCAGGCCCCCACCAGCAAGCCAGCAGACCAACATTCTACTTCCTACAGGCCTTGAATTTCAGCACCTTTTCATGTTCAAACGAGTAAATAAGCGAAAACATGCCGTAAGTAGAAAAAAGGTGTTTGGAAACTCAATATCAAAGTTTCTTACCCATTTCCACGCCGTTACCAGCTAGAAGACAAAGATTCCACTTCCCTCAGTCAGTCTTTGAAATTCAGCACCTTCAAATGGGAAAACGCGAAGATAAAATTGCGTTTTGAAACTTACATAATATAGGGGTTTCGGAGCTGTTTCCAAGCCCCCACCAGTAAGCAGAATCACCATTCTGCTTCCTACAGCCCTTGCAATTCGGCACCTTTTCAATTTTAAATAGGTAAATACGAGAATAAGTAGGGTAAAACGCGTTTTGAAAATGTATTGAGAGGTTTCTTAGCTATTTGCCCCAAAAAATCAACAGACTACTTCCTACAGTCCTTGAATTTCAGCACCTTTTCAGTTTCAAATTGGTAGAAAGAAGGAAACATGCCGTAAGAGGAAAAAAGGTGTCTCGAAACTCAATATAGAGGTTTCTTACCCATTTCCACGCCCTTACCAGCAAGAAGACAAAGATTCCATTTCCCTCAGTTCTTGAAATTCAGCACCTTCAAATGGGGAAACGCCGAGGAAATATATGTTTGGAAACTCAATATAGAAGTTTTAGAGCTATTTCCAGGCCCCAACCAGTAAGCAGAATCACCATTCTGCTTACTACAGCCCTTAAAATTCGGCACCTTTGCATTTTCAAATGGGACAATACGAGGAGAAGTAGACGATAAAACGCATTTTGAATATTAACTTAGATGGTTCTTAGCTATTTGCAGGCCCCAAGATATCAGTAGAATCACCATTCTACTTCCTACTTTCCTTGAATTTCAGTGCCCCTGTGGTTTTCAAATGGGGAAATAAGAGAAAAACCTTCCGTACGTAGAAAGAAAGGTGCCTAGAAACTCAATCTAGAAGTTTCTTAGCCATTTCCACGCCCTTACCAGCAAGAAGACAAAGATTCCATTTCCCTCAGTTCTTGAAATTCAGCACCTTCAAATGGGAAAAGGCCGAGGAAATATATGTTTGGAAACTCAATATAGAAGTTTTTGAGCTATTTCCAGGCCCCAACCAGTAAGCAGAATCACCATTCTGCTTACTACAGCCCTTGAAATTCGGCACCTTTGCATTTTCAAATGGGACAATACGAGGAGAAGTAGGCGATAAAACGCATTTTGAATATTAACTTAGATGGTTCTTAGCTATTGGCAGGCCCCAAGATATCAGTAGAATCACCATTCTACTTCCTACAGTCCTTGAATTTCAGTGCCCCTGTGGTTTCCAAATGGGAAAATAAGAGAAAAACCTTCCGTACGTAGAAAAAAAAGGTGCCTAGAAACTCAATCTAGAAGTTTCTTAGCCATTTCCACGCCCTTACCAGCAAGAAGACAAAGATTCCATTTCCCTCAGTTCTTGAAATTCAGCACCTCCAAATGGGAAAACGCAGAAGACATATATGTTTGGAAACTCAATATAGAAGTTTTTGAGCTATTTCCAGGCCCCAACCAATAAGCAGAATCACCATTCTGCTTACTACAGCCCTTGAAAACCGGCACCTTTGCATTTTCAAATGGGACAATACGAGGAGAAGTAGGCGATAAAACGCATTTTGAATATTAATTTAGATGGTTCTTAGCTATTTGCAGGCCCCAAGATATCAGTAGAATCACCATTCTACTTCCTACAGTCCTTGAATTCCAGTGCCCCTGTGGTTTCCAAATGGGAAAATAAGAGAAAACTTGCCGTACGTAGAAAAAGAAGTGTCTGGAAACTCAATTTAGAGGTTTCTTAGCTATTTCCAGGCCCCCACCATTTTGAAATGTTGTTCTTTTTCGTTTTTAAGCTATTTCCAGGCCCCAACCAGTAAGCAGAATCACCATTCTGCTTACTACAGCCCTTGAAATTCGGCACCTTTGCATTTTCAAATGGGACAATGTGAGAAGAAGTAGCTGATAAAACGCGTTTTGAGGATTAATTTCGATGGGTCGAAGCTTTTTGCAGGCCCCAAGAAATCAGTAGAATCACCATTCTACTTCCTACAGTCCTTGAATTTCAGCACCTTCCCAGTTTCAAATTGGTAGAAAGAAGGAAACATGCCGTAAGAGGAAAAAAAAGGTGCCTGGAAACTCAATATAAAGATTTCTTAGCCATTTCCAGGCCCTTGACAGCAAGAAGACAAACATTCCACCTCCCTCAGTGATTGAAATTCAGCACCTTCAAATGGGAAAACGCAGTGGAAAAATATGTTTGGAAATTCAATATAGAAGTTTTAGAGCTATTTCCAGGCCCCAACCAGTAAGCAGAATCACCATTCTGCGTACTACAGCCCTTAAAATTCGGCACCTTTGCGTTTTCAAATGGGACAATACGAGGAGAAGTAGGCGATAAAACGCATTTTGAATATTAATTTAGATGGTTCTTAGCTATTTGCAGGCCCCAAGATATCAGTAGAATCACCATTCTACTTCCTACAGTCATTGAATTTCAGCACCCCTGTGGTTTCCAAATGGGAAAATAAGAGAAACATTGCCGTACGTAGAAAAAAAAGTGTCTGGAAACTCAATTTAGAGGTTTCTTAGCTATTTCCAGGCCCCCACCAGTAAGCAGAATCACAATTCTGCTTCCTACAGCTTTTGAAATTTTGCTCCTTTTCGTTTTCAAATGGGAAAATAAGAGAAAACATGCTGCAAGTAAGGAAAACGCGGTTTGAGACTATACACATTTTGTTCCATATGTATATATACATATATATATATATACACACACTGTAATATGTATGTGTATATATATATATATACAATGCATATGTATGTTTATATTTACGTATATATTTACATATATATATAATATATATATATATATATTTATATGAATGTGTGTGTGTGCGCCTTGGCCTTTCAATTTTTTTTACTCAAAACTAGACACTGCTGGATGTGTTTTTTATTGTGATCTTGGGCAATTGAGGCCATCAGGAACGCGAATGCAGTAAGCAGAATTAAGTAGATGGAAAATTATCCACCAGTTATCACGACATGATTTTCTGCTTACTGGGGGGGTCAATTGGCTCAAGTTCAGCACTCCGACCCATAAGCCTCTGAGTCAAAACCCCGGATATCACCCAAATTTAGCCAATTTCCATATGCAGTAAGCAGGAAAGTCTCTGCCTACCGGGCGTCTTTGACTATATATAAATATATATTGACCATTTGTGGAAACATCTCCAATTGACCTCACCCGGCCTCCGAAGTGCCACATGCTCGATCATCCCAGAAGGCCCAAAGACGTGGAAGACCGTAGCTGCCGAGCTCATGCTCTCTGGGGCAAAGGTCAGTGGCCTGGGTTCGGTCATTGGGAAATCAACGAAATCCCCTACAAAATGGAGATGTGAATGGGGAAATCATCTAGAAATGGTGGGTTTTAGAATATCTATGTTAGTTTACTGATTTTACTGGAGGGTACTTGCAACTTGATGAGTGGCAGATGAGTGGCACATGATCCTAGGATACCACAGGGAGATCTAGACGCAGCTGTCCAGTCCCCACAGCCGGCCTCGGCGGCAATGTAGATCCTGCACCGGATGGTCCGAGGCTCAGCGTGGTGAGAGCGAAATATGATCAACTTGGCAGTCATAGCTGACATATGGGCTAACATGATGATTTGAAACACGAAATGGTTTCCCTCTCTCCTTCATCCCTTCAGACAAGGTCAACGCGTCACATACTTTGCAATGTGGTATCACATCGACATGCTCTGCTACAATAAGGAAGAGACAGGGTTTGCTGTTGGACCGTGGCCAATCGACCAGTCTCTTTTTTGGACAGTGTGCATCCAGCTTAGCTACCTACCAGTACAGCACATTACAGCACATTACAGCACCCGTTCTTGCCACTCGATGAGCACTAGCGTTCATTCGCAAGTAAGAAACACCTCGAGGACCCCGAGCCGACGCTATGACAGAATCTCTTAGAATCCCCATGATCCATCTCTCCTGGTAGCCATTGCATCGACAAGCCATGACCACTATGGGCCACGCCAAATGCTAGCTCGTTGGGCTCAATGGAGACATGTCGAGGCGAGAATTACGGCCCCACCCACCTTCAGCTACTCAAAGGGGAGTTCCTGCAAAAATAGCTTAACATTTAGAGGATCCAACCATCAGTTCAAGTCAGGGCTTCATCAATTGTCAATAGTTGAAGCTGGACTAGGTGACTATATAGATGACTCTGGCTTTTGTAAGTGCAAGACATATTGTTGCGAGCTGGATTGAGAAAAGACTTGAGTGGACTTGGATTGTAGGATGCTAAGAATGACCAGTCCAAAAGAATTGGGCCTGGCGGCTTCATGGTCCGCTATGACTCTGATCATCTCTGATAAAGTTCCGCAGTCCGCAGCTGGAAAAAGGCAGCAAGATTCAAGCACGCTGGCAGTGCCAGAATGCATAACGCAACCTTCCATGAATAAATCAACTCGCACTAAATAACCATGGACTCCTAGACCATAGTTTCAAAAGATGTGGAAGGTGCGGTCCAAAAATGCAGTTTAGCAATTAGCATTCGGCATTTGGGAAGCGCCTCTTGGGTACTAATGATTCCACAGAAACCACTGCTATCTTCACGAGAATCCAAGCCTTGTGACTTTCTCTAATGATCAACCCAGGTCTTAATCATGAGCCATGTCCCCAATTGCATCCGGGAACATCGAAAACATTCAAAAACTATGGCCACTTTTGTCGGAAACCCAGGGTGCAGCATGCCGCGCGGCAAATCACAGGGCCACTGCTGCTGCTCAGCAGCAAACCTCTGGCAATAGATTACACTGGGGCTACAGGGCTACAGCAGCTTCCAGCAGGCACGTGAATTAGGCCCAGGCACCATCTCTGGATTCACTGGATGCCGTGGGGATATAAAACAGCTGAACATGCAGGACGCTCCATGGAATCTAAGGGTGCACCCCAATTTCCCTCCCAACCACTAGGCTTTTGATAAGAGAAGAATGGATCCGTGGGATTAATAACCCCTTCAATCAAAAGAGACAAACAAACCAACCATTCACATCAAGCACCCAATTTTGCATAAGCCTCAATTGGGGATGGTTCATTGCATTATTTAAAGGATTGTTTTTGCCCCAAATGGTGATGGCTTATCATCATCCGCATTGAAGAATATGAAACATAAAATTGCCATTGGGGTACATATATGTACATATCTCATTATCAGTCATATCCAAGCATATCCCATATTCCGTTGGGGTGGTACCTGCAAGGATGCACCCATAGATTTTCTTCACCGGCCCAGCGACGCCACTCTACCTGAGGGGAGCTGCTTTGTGGTCAACCGGGATTCATATGAGATACATATGTATGACGGTCAAGTGAGATGACTAAATTCTCATTTTGGATAATAACCTGTCTTTAAAATATCATGGTCAACTGAAGTGCTCTCTCTCTCTCTCTATCCCTTTTTCATTGGAGAACCCATCTGAAAAAATACAATCGTTCAGTCCATTAGAGATGCAGTTGATCGTGCGTCTTTATAGTAATCATCGGCACATTGGTTTGTGTATGACTTTGATCCAAACCCATCATAGACAAATAAGAATCCATGCAACAAAAACTTACAATGCAAACTGAATGCCAAGAAAAATGCTGCAGCAAACTTATAGTAATCCCATGTAATCCCCAATGCTAGACCTTTGATTTATATAGATTATGTAAGTTTTGATTTACCACTATTTTAATAGGATGTCAAGTCAATCAATTTTGCGGGTTGCTATAGAAGGAATCACGCAAGTTGACAAATCCACTGGCACAGCGAAACCGAGGCAAGATTCTGAGATCGCCACAAAGTTCGCTCAGTCGAACTCCTGCCATGTCCAGCGGCAGAGAGCAAATAGAAACATGTAGTATTAGTAAAATGTAGTAATGTCAACCCCGGATTAATAAACCCTGGTTGATTAATTGTGGTGATTCCCCCTATAATAAACATTAACCTGAAAGACACATTCCCCCCATGCCATGTGGGCATCGAAATTTCTGGCTACATCGCCGTTTCTGGACCGCAGGACGCCCAAACCTCCACTGCCATGTCCGTGACGGGTGTGGTGCCCTGATCGTTGTCGCGACCTGCTCGGCCAAGGGGATCCTAGTCCTGGGCCTTGGAGGTATACTAATTGAGTTGTATTTATATATTTATATGTATATAAATATATATATTTATTATTTATATATATACCTGGAGCTTCAAAAGCACACTAATTTCTGCTCGAGCAAATTTCCGCTCGAGGAACCCAAATGTGCTCGTTTTACCAATTTCTGCTCGAGGTAATTTTTAGGGGGTTATGGAATTAAATTTGAAGCTCCAGGTCTTCATATCCACCTCCCTCTCAACCCTGCTGGCTGGCATGTGCACACAGAGCACAATTTTGGCGCCGAGATGAACATTCAATGCTGGGGACCTCAGCCATCCTTGAGATTGCGGGCAGCTGCCCACTCCCGACGGTAGTTGATGAGGGATTTCCTAATGCTAGAAGGTGTCAGTTGGACACTGTGAGATTTTCGGGTTACACGGGCTATCCGGCCAATGTAATCCTCATCAGACCAGCAAGCTTCACCTAAGCCAGCGGGTGTTTTTAATTTTACATCCACTTGATGTTGTGTATGTGTGTGTGTGTGTTTGGATTTTTAATGTTTCTCACTCACACATGTCCTTCACAAGAAGCACTATGCCCTGCACACGTGTCACATCTCTTACCATTAAGCTCAGGACATGCTGGATTGTAGATGTATTCGCAAGAAGGGTCTTCCAGTTGGTACTGTAGA